GAGTGAACCCAAAAGAAAAGCAAGGATGCCATAAATCCATTATTCATCTATCAATTATCAGTACTAACTAACTTACCGAGTAAAGTCATCGACTAGGTTATTTGTGACATTTGGTTTCCAGTAGGATACCCATTCCACATGGCCCTCATCCTTGAGATCCGAGTCCTTACCATCAACCTCCTGCGAAGTTTGCTTTGTGGTTAGTTCATGAGAATGAGTGCCATCACAGGCTAAACATTAACATAAACACATATAAAAAAATTCCGTATCAGAAGTTTCTGTAGAGACAATACCTCAACTTCAACTTTGGATTCATCAGAGTCTTTGGGATTTCCCAACAAACTCTTCTTCTTATCTGCTTTTCGCTTTGGCAAGTAAGTTGCAACGGCTGAAATAGTGAAAAGATTCATCCTGTTTAGCGGATACAAGTGAAGTCCTCGTATATTCACCAATCACCAATCCAACGATTAACAGCAAAGCAAGAAAATAAAAAGAAGAAGCATATTGTGCATCTTATACAAAAATATGATGTAAAGAGATGTGGCACCACTTCCAAGAACACAGAAACTCACGTTTTAGTCCTTGAGAATTTTGAACTTTCAAACTAGTTTAAACCAACTAATGTTAAAAATGGCATGGAAGATGACACACATGCCAGTGGCTTCAATTGTTAGAGAAAGATGTGCATAGAGAATTGTCAAAAACTCAAATTATAATAGGCACATCATCCTTAGAAATAAACGGATACAAGGAGCAATGTTTGGTGGTACACCATGCTGTGGATAGCTGTATGGAACTCGAAAACAATCAGCAAACTTCTTATGAAATTCATTGTTAAGAGTGAAACCAAAAGAAAAGCAAGCATGCCATACCGGTACCAATTACCAGTACTAACTAACGTACCGAGTGACTAGGTTAATTGTGACATTTGGTTTCCAGTTTGATACCCATTCCACAGAGTCCTTACCATCAACCTCCTGTTAATTGTGACATTTGGTTTCCAGTATGATATTTTGTTCTCTTCTTTCTTCGGTTAGAAAAGAAGTTGATGATATATATGAACAACAAGTCTTTGAAACAGAGGCCAAAAGCATGGAAACAGAGATAAACGAACAACATTAGATGTTTAATATTTTTGTTGAAACTGAGCTCATAACCTAGTAATTTATAACATCAGATAGATAGACTTGCACAAAGCAGGTAACTTGACCCCATGGATTATTCGATACTGAAAACGCACTTGAGGTAACACAAGACGACCGCGTCCCTCCTGGATACTCGGTCCTGCAGAAATTAAATTAATTTCAGTTAGCAATTGGGATACAAGGATTAAAAAGAGGTATTTTGTTATCAAGGTGGGAGATCTAGCTAGACCTACCCTGTAACGAGATTTGAGCACATTAATAGATTTCCTAGAAACGTGACTGACAAGGATATCATCACTTATGTCAAAATGGCTTCCAAAGCTAAGTCCTCGTTCTTCTGGGTTTGATGCGACAATCTGTGTAATAGCAAACGAAAGCCAATTATATAATACTAAGATAAAGCTAGCTATAGTATTATTGTTTTGAGATAATCTCAAACCTACCTTGATCATCACCGTGTCGCCTAACCTAGCAGCGTTGACGGATCGGTGGTCCTTCTCAATCCATGCAATACGTCCTATATCCAGGCAACCACTTCGCAGATTGCAAATGGGAGTTCCGACCTGAAACCAAAAAAGAAATGAGCTGTTCAACAGATGCATGTTTGAATAGTTAATAGATAATACGGTAGGGTACCTTAATGAAACCATAAACAACTAAAACTCCGAGGACAACTGGGTCGTCCTTGTTAAACACACAGTTGGGTAAGATGCGGAGGACGCATGGGAAGATTGCTTCATCATCCATTTCAGTCTCCTCTCCCAGCCGTCTGATATGGTCTTTGAATAGTTGGCACAGGGTTTCAAGCACACTGCAACGGATTACTTTGACTTGCAATCGTGCTGCCAGACGAGACGCCTCATGTGTCACGTCCACTCCAAACGCCAAGATAGTGGAAAACTGCCGTTTCCCATCACTGATTTTAAAGGCCTTCCTGATCTCCACTGGAGTGATAGTTCCTAAGTCCAGAGCTCTTACGGGTATATTCACCTCGGGGGATGTCAAGAAGTCGACCAGTACTTTCAAAGAATAAGTGGTAGAAGCTACGGCTAAAACACCCTCCGCACTTGTGGTCAAATTGTTCACAGATTCCATATCGGTATCGTCTCCAAAGCCCGGAAGTAACTGTCAGATTCATATATGAGACTAGAGAGAGTATATACACTAAGCACAGAAAGAAACCAACGAATTAAATTACCATCTCTGTTATCATCCTAGGTGTTTTTCCGGGAATATTAAAAACATCTCCATCGATTAAACTAGGCAAACTGAAAAAAAAACGGATCAAATCTCAAATAGATTTCATCTATAGAAGAAATTAAAGGCCAAAATCACAAAGAAAGCTTACTCGAAACTCCAAATCGCCATGGGAGGAGAAGAAATCGGACAGGGGCGACGATGCAGTTGCTCCGTCCAACACACAAAACCTATATGTTATATATATGATGAACTGTGTAATAAGGGCCTTGGGCCCAACAACGAATCCCGGTTAGGGTAACTTATGGGTTAGATAAGTGTATACCGGAACTTTGATATTGTTATCTCCGGTTTTGGATTGTAATTATGGGTTAGATAAGTGTATACTGTATATCTGAACCGGATTTCATATAGGAATGTGCAGACACCAAAATCACTTTAGTTGCATCAATAGATTCAGTCATTGTTACTGGACAAGTGAACAAACAAAACATCTCCTTTCATATGCATACTTGGTCAAGCTGAAGCATAGAATCAAACCGACTCTTCTCCGGTTTCATTCTCCTGGAAATTTCGTCAAGAACCTGATAGATCTCATAAGATCTTGGGTGTGATTTATCTTCCACAGTAAATTTATGAACTTCAACTCCTGCTTCCACAAAATAGCTATATCCAGCAGCCTTTGTCATCGTTTCCTTCTTCATCAACTTCCGCATCCTCAAAACTCCATCCCACTTCTCATTGGCTGCGTAGATGTTTGACATGATCACACAGTTACCTGGATTTGTGGGTTCAAGCTTCATCAGTGCCTCACTTGCTATCTCTGCTATCTCAACATTGCCATGAAAACTACAAGCACCCAAAAGGGTTCCCCATACGACAGCATCTGGTTTCATTGGCATTGTTTTGATCAGATCACAGGCTTCTTGCAGCTTCCCAACACGCCCCAAGAGATCGATCATGCATCCATAGTGCTCTAGCTTTGGCGAAATCTTGTGAACTTCCTCCATGGACTTGAGCAATTCTTTGCCCTTCAACACCATCCCACCATGAACACAAGCTAGCAACAATCCAACAAATGTCACTGCATCGGGTCTTTCTCCTTCTTGCTGAAGCACCAACGGAAAACCATAGTGTTAAAAACCAAGGTATCAAAACATGCTTGAACTGATGAAGAAACAAACAAAAATGCTCACCAACATTTGGGCATAAAGCTCAAGAGCTTCGTCGTGTTTCCCGTGAGTAGCTAGGCTACCGATCATGGAGTTCCATGAGATCAAATTTCTCTGGTTCCCAATTTCATCGAATAACCGTTTCGCTACATCAATCATTCCACATTTTGAGTACATCTCTAGTGTAGCATTACGCACGTAAATGTTATCAAAGAACCCGTTCTCTCTAGCATAGCCTTCTAATCTTCGGCCAATCTCCAATTCCCCTAGATTCGCACAAGCGGGGAGAACACTAACTAGAGTAATATGGTTTGGTTTCACGGATTTGTCTTTCTCCATACACAAAAACATCGTTAAAGCTTCAGAGTAATTCCCGTTCTGAGAAAACCCAGAAATGACGGTGGTCCACGAGGTTACGTTCTTATTAGGCATTGAGTCAAACAACTCCATCGCCGCCTTCATATCACCTCGTCTTTGGTAACCCGTGATCATTGCATTCCACACGGGTACATCTCGGTTAGACATTTCGTCGAACACTCTGCGCGCACAACACAAAGCTCCTAGCTTCGCATAGGCAGTGATTAGAGCAGTGCAGCAGAACGAATCGGACTCAAACCCAGATCTAAAAAACTGAGAATGAAGCAACCGTAAAGGCCGAGCTGACGAAAACGAAGCAGAAGCTGCGAAAATGAAATTGAAAGTGTGGTGATTTGGACGGATGCCATCGAAGGAGAGGAGATTATAGAGGACGATAGATTCATGGGGCTGATGATGAACAGAGTAAGATTGAATCAGCTTGTTGTAGAGGAAGATACAAGGGTTTCGATGAAGATCGAAGAGCTTTCGGGCATAAACAAGGTTTGGAATCAGAAGCAATCGTTGTAAGAGATCTTTGGTTTCGTCTACGCCTGTTCTCAGACAGTGCGCGTGGAGCTGCTTGATCTGATTCATTACCACGCGTTAACCTTTCGCACGTGCTTTTAACGCGCAAAAACCAGTGAGACGCCAAAATCTGTTACATAAACGGCGACGTTTACTAGTATTAATTATTATGTATGGGCTCAATTTTCGTTAGTCGTACTGCGGAAAGATTAAAGACTACGGCCCATATATGTCACCAGCTACCGACGTCGTATTGACTGAACTTATTATATCTTTCAAAAAGAGAAAATGCAAATATTTAACAAGTTTATAAATTTATATAAAAGCACTATTTTTTATATAGAAAAATATATGAAAAATTAGGATAAATTGGAAAAGGAAAAATATATATATATACTCCATCAATGATTTAATGCCATTTCTCTATTGTATACAAATTATCTTCTAAACAAATATATATACTCTGATTCTATACTAAAACTAAAGAATATTAAAATAATAACATATCGTTGAAAAAATAAATTAATAACAACATAATTTAAAATAATTCATCTATATATAGTCTCCATTGTGCTTTGATGATGAACATTCGCATCATATAACTATGGATTTCACTAAGAAAATATTGTTAGTATTTGCTTTCATCATTATGTTAGGTATCTATTCTGTTCATTGCCGTCCAAGTTTCAAACCCATACCTTGTAAGATTTGTTTATTATATTTCTTAGTTTGGTAATTTTTATCTGTTTCGTAGTCTTTCATTACTGAATTTTACTAAATTATAATACGTTTTTGTTTAGTGTTTGAAGAAAAATTGACTCAGTGTTTCGACACAAGACCATGTCTGCAAGGGATGTTGAAATGCATTGAATTCTGTAGCTCAATGGGGACTGCGGATGGACAATGTAATAATGAAAACCTTTGTTGCTGCACACATGAATGACATTTTAGCTTTTTATTCAAAAATATTATTTATTCAGATAAAAAACAAATTTTACCCCAAATTAAATAAATATAGCTTTGTTTGCTTAACGATTGGATGAATGCATATTTGTTGTTTTAAACTTTTGGGCTTTTGAGTTTTGATGCTTGTGGGGATATATATTGATAACTTGATTTGATGGAAGAGAATTGAGGTCGAAAGGTCATTGATTAAATTTATTCCATCTCAAACAACAAATTACACAATTCTGAACAAAGTAGTGATATTCTTAACACGTTTTTAAATAACCTAAAACGAAATTGCTTTTGGCGGTGTATGTATAGCATTATACTATTAATTGGGAAGCACTCAAACATAAATAACCTTATAAAGTGTAAAATATTACAAAAATGCCATTGTTTTTTGTTTTTAAATAATATATTAAATAAAAAATAGTAAAATTCTTTAATTAATTATTAGTTTTCAAAAAATTAAACTCACTTTCTCTCTCATATTAATTATGGACGAAAATTAAAAAAAAAATTCTAAAAAGTTGTTAACCAATGAGAATTGAAAAATTAAGATTGATATCCAACTAAAATTTTATCTAAACCAATCCTAATAAACTATTCTATATCAAAAATAAAAAGAAAAATAATACCATTTTAACTCAAAATAAAAAACACTATCGTTTAAAAAGTTTTATCAATAGATGATTTTAATATTGAATTTGAAATTTCATAAAAAAATTAAATACAAATATTTATGACTCAGTTTTGTTATAATATTTTCACAAATTTTGAGATATAAAACAAAATTTTATTTCACAATTTCTAAAAAACCGATATTAGATATTAACAAATATTTATATTTACTATGAAATAAACTCAAATAATGATAAATTTAAAGTAATTATCGTTATGGCCTTCGTTTAGAGAAAGTTTCGGAAATATCTAAACAAAAGATTGTACATATTAATTTCGAAATATTTTGTGTTTTTTTTTTTCTTCTCAACCGGATCTTCCTTAAACAAATCCATAATATATTGCACACAGTTTTCAAAATAATGTGAACTAATTATATATTTTGCATTCAAAACAAATTATGCAGCAATAACATATCTTTTTTATAGATGTATCTCAAATTTTAATTTTAGTCCCAAAAATCAAATTAATTATGATTAAACAATGAAAATAAAAATATGCAAAATTTAGCTAGAAACATTAATAAATTTGTTTAAATATATTTGTAACTTTAACTGGTATACATATTAATCCGCAAAACTCACAATATATATTGTAATATTGTATGGTATTTAAAAGTAAGCAAACAAGAATTTGGAATATGATTTTAATGGAATAAAATGGAAATAGAAATTACGAGACGAGATGGGAGGGGAACATATATTAAAAATCAAACTAAATACCCAACTGACATGAGTTCGGGTTATGAGCACTATATAAAATAAATTTGTTTACACACGTAACCCTGTACATACGTTTTCAGTTACACATACTCTATTTATGACAGATATAGGACCATAATATTTTTATTTTACGTATACGTGACAGATTATGGGACAAAGAATTTATGACAGATACCGGACGGGATATTTTCATGTTCCAAAATAGTTATGCCTAGCTAATATACATGAAATAATCCAAACTAAAACCGAATTCATATCATATTTAACATATAAAATCAAACTGTTAGAACTGTTTTGATTAGTTAAAAAAATAAAAATGTAACACCAGTTAACTTTTGCAACTAAATTAGTCCGGATCTTAAAATATAATTATGCATTAACGCAACTGAATTTTGTTCATTACTCTAACTTTATAATATTTATACTATTACGAATTTCACTAACACAACAAATATTTTATATTTTTAAATCTCTAAAAAAATTTCTATAAATATATCTCTACACGTATGTGGATCCAGATCTAATGCACTAAAATATATATCATAAAAAGTTAAAAACAACAAAATAATCTATACTGAATTAAAATTTGTTAAAAAATTTTTAAAATATGAAACCCCGCACATACATACGTGCAATGATCTAGTTAAGTATTAACAACAAAACTTTCTAGAGATATAAATCAAAACGAAATTCCTTTTGGATACAAATAGCATAAACAAAACTTCGTAAAGCAGAACCAAAAACAACTCAAAAATTGTTTGAAAGAACAAAAGCACAAAGCTAATTAGTTTGTTTTCTTGTCATCTTCTTGGTCAGAGATCTTCTTTGTATCCACAGACTCATCCTCACCTCCAAAACCAAATTCGTTGACACGTGTTCTGTCCACAGGATAAACCCATCTCTGGTACAAGTATATTAAGAATATCACATCTGCAACAACAACACCAAATTAGATCATCACTAATTTTTGTGAATTCCAAAACTGTCCTACAGACATGTATCAATAAACTCAGGGAAGATGGATTTGTATTCACCATCTCGGAAGACAGAAATGCGATGCAGCATTGGCATTTTGATGACAAAAGCAAAGAGATCGTCGATGATTGTGTTGAGGAACTTATATGTCATTTGCCTCCATGGTAAATGTGCTACTGACTTCAGCTTATAGTTGATGAACAATTGAGGACACATCATTATGAAACCTGTGGAAACACAAAACACATTGATTTCGACTCAATTGAATCAACCACAAGAGAGTTTTGAGCTGGTCTAAGATACTTTTGAAGGATTTTTTACCAAACATGTAGACGCAGCTCGTTAGTGAAGATAGGATCCATGAGTACCAGCTCTTGTGGCGTTCATAGGCAAGTGAATATATGGAGAAACCCACAACATGGAGGAGGAGCACATAGGATAAGAATTTAATGGCGATGTCGTCATACTCCTTGGTCTTGTTGCTTGCATAGGATTCACGGTCGTGGAACCTCAATCTTGGAATCATCCCACTTCGATCAACCTGGAAAGTTTAAATGTTTGCCACGGATTAAATGCAAAGCAAAAAACATCAGGTGAACATGTCACTGATTTTTGAATGATGTTTCACATGCACAAAAATACTTGACTCAGTGATCAAATTGTGTGTCATATTAGATGGTACCTCAATCCGCATGGCTTTCCCTATTTTCCAGAACTCGATGCAGACACCAACTCCGGAGCTAGCCAGTATCATCCAAGAAGTGTCGTTGTCAAGCAGGTAGAGGAAGATGATAAACTGACAGATAAAGTTTAGTACGACAGACTTCGCAGACAGTCCTTCCATAGATTTGTTCTTGTTCCAAAACTGGATATCTGCAGGGAATGTAACAGGTAATTCAATAGCTAATTTCAAGAGGCATTTTAGGAAAGTAGATGTTCTTTCAGGTATTTACCATTTTTGAATGCAAGGAAGTCAAATACAGAATGAAGCATCGAAACAAACATTGTGACACCCAACAGATAGGGATTTCCTTCCAAAAACACCCTCTGCAAGTAAATTATACACCATCAAACACATAATCACTCGAGCTTCGATTAACAGAAAACAATTAATCACATCTCTATACTACGTTAGGGATTCCTAGTTAGAGTCGTTAGATGCACATCCTTGTATATTATATGGCAAATGAAGCCAACTTGGTATAAAGGACCAGAATTACCTTTAGTTCGTCAGATTCACCATCAAGCATGCTTCCATAGCTACGGTGAATCTGAAAAGACTGATCAATCTGCTGAAACAGCTGCCACTTTGTCATGCTTATGGGGCTTACTTCCAGATTAAGTGGCAGCTCTGAGACCGTCTCATTGATTAAAATCAACTTGTCCCTTAGCAGCCAAAACTCATTAAAGAAAACTGTAGGGTAGTAGTTTACTGTACTAGGTTCCACCAGTAAGTCTACCAATAAAAGTTAAGGAAAGAGCAGATATGGACCATCACACCTTTAGCATGGCAAAGTGGAATATTCATATATTCCCATTCCAAAGATTAACAGAAAAGCAAAAAGAATTAGGAAGCATAGGTTCTCTGTGCATTTATGCACAAATATGAAGTAAGGAGATGTGGCACTACTTCCAAGAACCCAGAAACTCACGTTTGGCCCTTGAGAATTTTGAATTTTCAAACAAGTTTAATCCAACTAATGTAAAATTGGCATGGAAGATGATATACACATGCTAGTGACTTTGATTGTTAGAGAAAGATGTGTATAGAGAGTTGTCAAAAACTCAAATAATCATAGGAAGATCATAAAATAAAAGGATACAAGGATCAATGTTTGGTGGTACACCATGCTGTGGATAGCTGTACGGAAATCGAAAACAATTAGCAAACGTCTTACGAAATTAAATGTTAAGAGTGAACCATAATAAATCCATTATTCATCTATCAGTTATCAGTACTAACTAACTTACCGAGTAAAGTCATCGACTAGGTTAATTGTGACATTTGGTTTCCAGTAGGAAACCCATTCCACAGGTCCCTCATCCTTGAGATCCGAGTCCTTACCATCAACCTCCTGCGAAGTTTGCTTTGTGTTAGTTCATAAGAATGAGTGCCATCACAGGCTAAACATTAACATAAACACATATAAAAAATTCCGTATCAGAAGTTTCTGTAGAGACATACCTCAACTTCAACATTGGATTCATCATCGTCTTTGGGATTTCCCAACAGACTCTTCTTCTTATCTGCTTTTCGCTTTGGCAAGTAAGTTGCAACGGCTGAAATAGTGAAAAGAGTCATTCAATTTTAGCGGATACAAGAATCTCAATGCCAACAACTGTAAAAAAGGTTGTTTGTCTAAGGAAAGGGAAGTCTTACGGTGTGTCCTGCCAAAGCAGTTAAGAGGCTGGTATTCAGGATCACTAGGATCTATAGGATAACCAGATCGAGCAAAGAAGACATGAGCATACAGACTTCCATTATTCTTCAGTGCCTGGAACAACAAACATCTTAATTCAATGGAGCAAATATATTAATCTCGAAGGAAGCAAATGAAAAAAAACCCAAATTTCTACTACCTCGGATGGATAATATGTCATTGACAAGGTCCTAGTGCTCTCTGGCTTCCACACAGCATAAGGTATGTTTGTCTCGTGCCAAATAAGCGCACCTTCATTGCCAAAGTCATTGAATTTCTCATGCTCCGAAAGATAAAACCACATATCCTGGAAAAACAAAAACACAAAACAGTAAAACCCTAAACCACTCCGAAGTGGAAAAACACTCAGACAAGAAAAATTCTGTGATTCGACCATAAAAAATAACGTACTTTATTTCAGAAGAGAGAAACGAATCAAATTGCATGAATTAACGAATAGCAAGTAATCAACACAATTAACCAGAAAATTACCATGGGCTCTCCCCTCTGAAAGAGATTGGACATAAGATGAGAAGGCTTAGAAGGATCCGATGGTTTTTGTTTCGGAGAAAAGAACTTAGAAGCAAAGTAGCAGAAGACGGCGATTCTAATGATTCCGGTAATTGCCTGCCCAAACCCACCAGCTTGTCGTTGCTGCTGCCCATCACCGCCGTCAACCACCGCAGCTGTTTCACTTGCCGGAGGCGCCATATTCGCAGAAAGATGCTTTCGTCAGTGCCGATTCAAGCTGAACTATGTAACTTTACCGTGTGAGATGTGTAAAGCAGAGTCGACGAGAGAGATATATATTTATGGATTTTTTTTTTTTTTTCTATTTATTCGAATGAGAATAAAAATCGTAAATTTGCACGTAAGGACCTAAAGTAAATTAATATATTCTTAGTTAGCCCTTCAGTTTTAATTAAATCATATTCATAATTTTCAATTCACTCAGAAAAAAAAAAAAAACTCTCGCTTGCTTTGATGGAGAGATGGAGACTGAGCGACACCTTTATTGCTTGATAAATTAAGGAACTTGATAAAGATATTGCTTTATCAGTTTCTCTATGTCTGTTACATATGGACAACGCTTATTTCTAGACTAGAGTGTTACAAGGGTAGGAAATCGTTCTTGCATATCAGGTGTTTGTGAAAATGTCTGATCCAATGTAACGTGGATTTTGTGGATAAAGGAACGTTTCTGGGATATTTAGGGGAAAGATGGTACCTTTACGGCAATTTGTTCAGAATTTCAGACTTTTGTCTGGTTTTGGAACTGATCACAGGGTTTTTTTGGATGTTGTCAAAGCTTGTGCTTCAGTGTCTGAGCTCACATCAGGGAGGGCTCTGCACGGTTGCGTGTTCAAGCTTGGTCATATAGCCTGCACTGAGGTCTCGAAGTCAGTTCTTAACATGTATGCGAAATGCAGGAGAATGGATGATTGCCAGAAGATGTTTAGGCAAATGGACAGTGTTGATCCTGTTGTTTGGAATATTGTTCTGACTGGACTTTCTGTTTCTTGTGGTCGTGAAACGATGAGGTTTTTCAAAGCAATGCACTTTGCAGATGAACCTAAGCCCAGCTCCGTTACCTTTGCGATTCTTCTTCCTGTGTGTGTTCGCCTTGGGGATTCATACAATGGGAAAAGTATGCATTCTTATATTATTAAAACCGGTTTAGAGAAAGATACACTTGTGGGGAATGCTTTGGTTTCCATGTATGCCAAATTTGGGTATATTATTCCTGATGCTTTTACTGCATTTGATGATATAGCTGACAAAGATGTTGTCTCATGGAATGCGATTATTGCTGGGTTTTCTGAGAATAAGATGATGGCTGATGCATTTAGATCGTTTTGTCTAATGCTGAAAGAACCTACAGAGCCAAATTATGCAACAATTGCAAATGTTTTACCAGTTTGCGCTTCCATGGGTAAGAACATTGCATATCGAAGTGGTAGACAGATTCACAGTTATGTTGTGCAGAGATCTTGGTTGCAAACCCATGTTTTTGTATGTAATTCACTTGTGAGTTTCTATTTGAGAGTCGGAAGAATAGAAGAAGCAGCCTCATTGTTTACGAGGATGGGTTCCAAAGATCTGGTTTCATGGAACGTTGTCATAGCCGGTTATGCATCAAATCATGAGTGGCTTAAAGCATTGCAGTTATTTCACAACTTGGTGCAAAAGGGGGATGTTTCTCTTGATCCAGTAACTATTCTCAGCATCCTTCCTGTCTGTGCGCAGTTAACTGACTTGACCTGTGGGAAAGAGATCCACAGTTATATTTTGCGCCATTCTTACCTTTTGGAGGATACATCAGTTGGTAACGCTCTCATTAGTTTCTATGCAAGATTTGGTGACACGAGTGCAGCATATTGGGCCTTTTCACTGATGTCCATGAAGGATATAATATCTTGGAATGCTATACTTGATGCCTTTGCAGACAGTCCAAAGCAGTTTCAATTTTTGAATCTCTTGCACCACTTATTTAACGAAGCAATCACTCTTGACTCTGTTACTATTTTAAGCCTACTCAAGTTCTGCACAAATGTACAGGGAATTGGTAAAGTAAAAGAAGTTCATGGGTACTCAGTTAAGGCTGGTCTTTTACACAATGAAGAGGAACCCAAGCTTGGTAATGCATTGCTTGATGCATATGCCAAATGTGGTAATGTTGAATACGCTCATAAGATTTTTCAGGGTTTATCAGAGAGGAGAACTTTGGTTACCTATAACTCATTGTTATCAGGATATGTTAATAGTGGAAGTCATGATGATGCTCAGATGCTGTTCAGTGAGATGTCTACTACTGATCTCACCACTTGGAGTTTGATGGTTCGTATCTATGCTGAAAGTTGTTTCCCTAATGAAGCCATTGGTGTTTTCCGTGAGATTCAAGCTCGAGGAATGAGGCCTAACACTGTGACTATAATGAATCTCCTTCCTGTTTGTGCGCAGCTAGCCTCTCTGCATCTAGTAAGACAATGTCATGGATATATTATTAGAGGCAGACTTGGTGATATCCGCCTGAAGGGGACTCTACTAGATGTATATGCTAAATGTGGCAGCTTGAAGCATGCATATTCTGTCTTCCAGTCAGATGCTCGTAGAGATCTGGTTATGTTCACTGCTATGGTAGCTGGGTATGCTGTACATGGTAGGGGTAAGGAAGCACTTATGATCTTCTCTCATATGATTGACTCAAACATAAAGCCCGATCATGTTTTCATAACTACTCTGTTGACTGCATGCTGTCATGCGGGATTATACAGGATGGATTGCAAATATATGACTCAATAAGGGCAGTTCACGGTATGAAACCTACAATGGAACAATATGCTTGTGCTGTAGATCTACTTGCTCGAGGGGGTCGACTTGATGATGCATATTCTTTCATCACACAGATGCCAGTTGAACCCAATGCAAATATATGGGGAACACTGTTAAGGGCGTGTACAACCTATAATAGGATGGATCTGGGGCACTCAGTTGCAAATCATCTTTTGCAAGCTGAATCTGACGAGACCGGAAACCATGTTCTAATATCGAATATGTATGCTGCAGATGCTAAATGGGAAGGCGTGATGGAGTTGAGAAACCTAATGAAGAAAAAGGAAATGAAAAAGCCAGCGGGATGTAGCTGGCTAGAAGTGGATGGGAAAAGGGATGTTTTTGTGTCTGGAGATTGTTCTCACCCTCGTAGAGACAGTATTTTTGACTTAGTCAATGCTTTATATCTTCAGATGAAAGAGCCTGTGGTGTTTTAATCGATGAAAATTGTGAAACATACCCATCGTACAAAAACCTCAATACAGAGCCACAGAGGAGAAGATCACCAGGAAAAATCTACAATCTATGGGTATTTGCTTATAAAGGTGCAGTGAGATGGATCTACTTGAATCCTCAAAGAAGTGGATGGGGATTTAGAGGCTTGCATAGCTCACTCTTTAGTCGATTATCAGCTGGGAATGCGCCAGATGTCTCTTTAGAGAACTCTGTTACTGAGGAAGAGATTAGATATTCTTCTGATTCAGTAGCGACTAAGCTATGTACTAAGCCTCTAAAGCTTGTCTCGGGGTCGTGTTATCTACCGCATCCTGATAAAGAGGTGACTGGGGGGAGCGGATGCACACTTTATCTGTGCAGAGGAGCAAGCATTGGTGTAGCAGAGGGCAGAGCTCGGTATCGATGCAGGTTACTATTCTCGCGAGCTTATGTCTAACTCAGTGAATGTAATCCAAGATGAGCCTAAAAGTTCGATTGATCCAGCCAGAGTATTGGAAAAAAACTCATACTTGCACAAAGTCACAAGGGTCTTCAACGGCTCGCATCATAGCCTACAACCAGGGACTTCATATAATCAACTTAGGACAGCGGGTTCATGGTTGTCCGTGAAGGGCATTACAGTTTTCCGTTCCCCTGTTCAACAACATGACTTCAACTTCACCTATCAGCAGGAGAGTGGAAGAAAACGCGATTTGCCAAGCTCAGGTCAGGTTTTCAGGGTTGCTGTCGCTCCTGGAGATGTTATAATAGCTGAAACAGATGGATTATTCGACAAACTGTACAACAACAACAACGGACTTGAGTTAGATAAGTCCTTGATTTCACACCCACGGACTCACTCACTCAGTTGTGCCCACAGTAAAAAGCCAGTGGAGTTTTTGTCACTTTTTTAGACTCTAATTAATTTATCTCTTCTCTTTCCAATCCATTTATATAAATATCCGTCTCAGTCATGATTTTGTGCTGTCGAAATAACATGTACATAACTGCAACCATGTAACTCCGAGAGAAATGACATAATGATCGTTCCTTGACTATCAAGAATATATCACAATAATACAATTCAGATTCATGTCACCTGATCTGATCACACAAGTGCTCAGTTGTAACTTGTTCATATTGAAAAGCAACAAAAAGATCCCAAGAGAATATAGTAGTCAACTCAACAAAAGAAAAACCTCAAAGGAATTTACACATCAGAGATCTCCATTCATAGGTTCAAGAGAAAAGACAAGACTCAGAATTCCGAACTAATATTTTGAGGTGGAATATAGTAAGGGGCCTTGAATAATGTAGCATTCCTACTACCCATGGACCAATTAGCCAGATCCATAGTTCCGCTTTCGTGGAAATCATAGACTTTGACGCGGTTAGGGCACATGCCGGGAAAGGAGCTAGCAGGTACACAGAAAGGTTCAGACCTTGAGATGAAAATGCAGAGATCTCCAATGTCTTGAGTGTAAACAGCGTTTCCTTGTTCGTCTAGCCTGAAAACCATTAAACCTAGTGTTTTCAAACCTTGTGTATTCAATCGGGGAAGAACAGGGTGGATGATGTCAACGGTCTTCCTGTACAACTTAACCACAAACATTTCACCGGTTGTTCGTGACTCCACCAAGTGTTCGGTGGTGAAACACGAATGCATACGCTCGCGTCTGGTCTTCGTTAGCTCGGCAAAGTTTTCAAATCGCAACTTGTGGAACTTGGGATTAATATTGTGCTGCTTGTGTGAACAACTGAGATCCCATGATGCTATGAGGTGGCCTCCAGATCCGGGTATGCGAAACATGTTATCTTTCTTGGAAAACATGACTCGGGAGGAGAAGAAGCAGGGGTTTTCGATTCTGATGTTGATCCACTCGGAGTTCCTTTGAGCGGGTCTGCAAAAGCTAAGCTGAGGTCCCATGAACTTGACAGCTACAACACAGTCCTCGTCCTCTGGAGAAGATGAGGACATTGCCACGTTGGTGACAATTTGGGTTTGGCAATGAGGCAGAGTTACAAGAGGAGGCAGCAAAATGTGTTTCGGATTTGTATCCGATGCAACCGGGTTTAGATCGTCTTGGAGACGCACTCTTCCGTCATCCTTCAAAGTTGCTACCCAGCCATGAGATGACCCAATCAAAACCGTCTTTTTTTGATCCGTCAACTCCAGAGACACCTTCTTCTTCGTATAAGTCAAGCAACGATCATTAGCATTCCAAATCACGAGTTGACCGAAATCCCAATGGCAAGGAACAACGCCGAGGATGCTACAAGGAGGGGTTTGCAGCAAGGAAGACGAGAAGCCATTGGAGCCAAGAGGAGAGGATCTAACCACCACAGGTAGCTTCGAAGGCTGATTGAGAAGCAGAGACATGAATGTTGTTAGCAAAAAACCTAATTTATATTTTGTCAAGCACTTAATTAATGTTCACATCTTAAAAATCCTCCATAAATATAGAAGAAGAGACTTGCTTGCCAAGTTTTCCATATCCATATAAGGAAGGGACTTGCCCACCAAGTTTTCCATCTCTGAATCAATTATGGTCAAACTCAAACACAATCTTAATTACCATTTTTTCAATCCAAATATATGCTTACCAATTGATCAAGGATCATATTCTAAATTATAATATATGGCTTCATATCACCAATGTACTTGCCAATGAGTTTGATCTTAGCCAACGTTTTTTCATAGTGTATATATTAAGGTAAAGCTATCCTTAACATTTCCCGTATTTGGTGGTCTCAAATATTTTCCTTGCAAGTCAAAAGTTCTCCTCATTGAAAAGAAAAAAGTAGCGTCTTTGACCATTATGATCTGTGTTTACAGCGAATGAAAGGCGCTATTCAGAACATTTTACTACTTTCGAAACGATCCAGTAAATATCATTGTCGAATATGGCAAAACGGTAAACAAAATGCCAAGTTAAACTTGGACTCGTAGGCCCAATTCAAGCCCAATAAGATACCCAACCACTAAGATAACCAATCGTATCGTAGTCATATTTGTGACAATTTATTGTGTGGCGTCAACTGTCAAGGTGACAAGGTGTTGTTGTTTGCCCTCCTTTTTATCATTTTTGTAACATAACAGATCATTTGTAAATAACATATGTTCTGCTTCTTTTGTTTCTCGATCGAACAAACAGTATTTATTTTGATGACTCGAGAGAATTAAAGCAGCTTTTAGACCACCGGTCCAACAGTAAACCGTTCCAATTTATTAGGAGATAATAAAGCCAATAAAAGTCGGTTAAAATCCGCCTTGTTCACTTGTCGGATCAAGGTTAAAACTTAAAAGTTAAAACAAATTTGAAGTGCAGAGAGGCCAAAGCCAATAAAAACCGGGTCCATGACTGGGTTATTTTATAACCGGACCCAAATTACGGTTCGACCGGTGTTATATGAAATTGCAATTGGCTTTAGAGAATCCTCGTCGAAGTTAAAACCATTCTCTCTCATCTGCACTTCCTTTAGGTCTTGTAATTGACAACGAGGCCGAAGATGGTTGCGAGTTAAACGGCGTTTTGAGCTGCAAGTAGGACCAGTTCTGGTGACGACAAAGCGTCGAAACGTTGCGTTTCATCTTAAACTAACAAGACCAACCGTTTTCATACTTACAATTGTTTTTTGCCGGGTTGCTTTTATAGTTTTGTTGTTCGTGCTCCGTGTTATAGATTTCTTTCTTGTGAGAAACTAGTGTAGAACCTCAACATTATTTTCGGTGATCATCATGTTTGTTTGTGGATCATAGTCAAGATGTCTCGAGCAAGAAGCAGAAGACAAGGAGAGAGGATATGAAGGGGTTTGGAAGAACAAGTGTTGGTATCTCTATACATCTGATGTGCACACTATATCCGAACAAGAAGGCTCCTGGAGAGGCTCGATGGCTTTGGTTCCTATGTCTCTGTATTCACTTGTATCTATGGTGGGAACAAAAATTTAAAATCCATCCTGGTCTTCAACAAGTAATAAGATAAAAATACATTTCACGTTTCCAAGGCTTAATAAGATCAAATACATACTCATTACTCAGTAGTTAGTCTATATTTTGAGGTGGAATATGGTAAGGGGCCACAAATCCGCGTTTAGGATTTCCACCAATGTATTTGCCTCCAGCCAGATTGACACAACCGGCTTCATCGACATCAAAGATTTCGACGGTGTTGGGGAGCAGGCCGGGAAAGGAACTGGCAGAGACACAGAAAGGTTCAGACTTTGAGATGAAAATGCAGAGCTCTCCAATGTCTCGAGTGCAAACAGCGTTTCCTTCTTCGTCTAGCCTGAAGACCATTAAGGCTTCTGTTTTCATTTGGGCAGTGCCGTTGATGATGTCAGCAGCCTTCCTGTGCCACTTAACCACGAAAGTTTCACCCGTGGCTCGTGACTCCACTAAGTGTTCGGTCGTGCAGCACGAATCCAGAAGCTCAGGTTTGGTGTTAGGAAGGTTTCGAAATTGAACCTCGTGCAACTTGGGGTTTGTACGGAGATCCCAAGATCTAATGAGGTGGCCTCCAGATGCGAGTATGCGAAACATGTCCTCTTTCTTGGAAAACATGACTTGGGAGGAGAAGAAGCAGGGATCTTCGATTCTAATGTTGATCCACTCGGGGTTCCTTTGAGCGGGTTTGCAAAAACTGAGCTGAGGTCCCAAGAACTTGACAGCCACAACACATTCCTCATCCTCAGGAGAAGATGAGGACATTGCCACGTTGGTGACCATTTGAGTTTGGCAATGAGGCAGAGTTACAAGAGGAGGCAGCAAAATGCGTTTCGGATCTGTATCCGATGCAACAGGGTTTAGATCGTCTTGGAGACGCAATATGCCGTCGTCCTTCAAAGTTGCTACCCAGCCATGAGATGAACCAATCGTAGCCCTTTCCTTCATCAGCTCTAGAGGCACCTTCTTTTCTAAATGAGTGCGGTTACTTTCATTAGCATTCATAATAATGAGTTTTCCCAGATCGTCTCCACAAGGTTTAGTGCCAATGATGTAGCAAGGGGGGCTTTGCAGTGAAGAGGATCTAACCAACACAGTTTTACGAAGGCAGAGCTTCCAAGGCTGATTGAGAAGCAGAGACATGAATATTTTAGCGGAAAGCAAGAGAGTGAAAAAGGAGGGGAAAAAAAAAACCTAATTGACAATAGTTCACATCTCTTCTCCACCTAAAACGCTCCGTTTATACAGAGGAAGAGACTTGCTCGTCAAGTTTTCCATTTCCAAATTAATAAGGGACTTGCCCACCAAGCTTTCCATCTCTGAATCAATTATGGTCAAACTCAAACACAATCTTAATTACAATTTTTTCAATCCAAATATATGCTTACCATTTCTTATAAACATTTGATCAAGGATCATATTTAGAATATGGTTTCATATCACCAATCTATATTGGCAACAATGGCTTTACCTGCGTTTATTAAAGTTTACTAAATTTCTACTTTCTAAATTTCAATAGTCAAGAATAGGCCTAAAATTTAGGTATCTACTCTCATGTCATCTCTCTTGTAGTGTGACCAAAAAGACTCTTTTAGCAAACTGGATCCAATATCAACTCCATTTTCTAATTAATGAACCTTGAGTTTGTTACAGACTGCATATAGTCACAATCTGAGTAAAAACTGGCTGATCTTACACCATATTTAAGCTTATAAACCAGACAATCTCAGAGTCCTTAACTGTTAAGGGCGTGTACAACCTATAATAGGATGGATCTGGGGCACTCAGTTGCAAATCATCTTTTGCAAGCTGAATCTGACGACACCGGAAACCACGTTCTCATATCGAATATGTATGCTGCAGATGCTAAATGGGAAGGCGTGATGGAGTTGAGAAACCTAATGAAGAAAAGGGAAATGAAAAAGCCAGCAGGATGTAGCTGGCTAGAAGTGGATGGGCAAAGGAATGTCTTTGTGTCTGGAGATTGTTCTCACCCTCGTAGAGACAGTATTTTTGACTTAGTGAATGCTTTATATCTTCAGATGAAAGAGCCTGTGGTGTTTTAATAGATGAAAAAAGCTGCAAAGCTAGATCATGATGGTCTACACAAGGACATTGCACATATTTTACAGAGACATATCTTGAGTGAGATAATGTAAGCGAACAATCTTCCTCTTCCAATTATAATATTGTTGTGAAACTCTAAATGTACATAATCTTTGGGGGTAGTAGGCAGAGAACAAGCTTATGATTAATCTGTCGGGTTTATGGTTTGCCACTCGAATTGGGAGATGCTAAAGGAAACAAAGTAAGCAATTCTGGTTCTGTATACCCTGGTTTAGACCTTGGCGATGGATGCAAGTAAAAGCGTCTCTCTTTAATGGCTTTCTCCTCTTCTTCGATGTTTGTTGTACAACTATCTGGTTCTGCTTTCTCCCCTTCTATCAAGGACAAGTTAGAGAACAATGAAGAAGGGGTGCCCACTGGACTTGTTAAAAGATGATATATGGTGTCGTACCAGTGGGCTTAAAGCTTAGAGGTGGTTTGACAATTTAAAGCTTTGGCCTCATACATTGCCTTCTCTCATGGAGCTTTGAAGTCGGCCTCTTTTGTATGGCGGTTTTTATCACTGTTGCTTCTGGTGTTGCTGCTGCAGCGTTGTTCTCTGATGGACCTGTCAAGCGCTGCACAATTTCTCTGAAAGTGTTGGTGTCAGTTTGGACAAATGTAGTGACAGGCTTGCAGGTTGCAACGTTCTGACTCCCTTTGTTATTCATATGTAAGTCCTTCTCTGACAAAACAGGCTTTGATTTACACCTATTTTTGTCCTCTGACCTGCAACAAAACTACCGTTTGTTCAGCTGATGAGAAGATGAAATATATTCAAACATGAAGGTGACTTTTCAGATTTTAGTCCCATCAAGAGAACCGAGGAATGTCAACTTCATGTGAGTTCAGAGATGAGATTGATGGAAGGTAAAAATACTCACAAGTCTTCTTGTAATCCAAGATTTGATATTTCTTAACGATTTCCTATGCATAATATTTCAAAAACAAGCAACTCAAAACATAAATAGCTACAGATACAACAGATGAGGTAGTCGTGTACTCAAACCTCACCATTTTAAAAAGAGCACTAGATTCTTAAATGTATCCGTGGAAAAAATAATAAAAATTTGGCTTTTCCTGAATTTGCTTTGACTTGTTGTATACTCAAATATCTATGTCGAAGTTTGGTGCTATTACTAATTGTGGGAATGACAATGAAGAGGGTTTTTCATGACTTATATCTATCTTCTTCATCATCATCTTTATGGTGGTTACTTGTTTATATGATGAGAGAACTGTTTATAAAAGTTTCTATGTAGCATTCATTTTACGATTTGGTAACCAAAGTTATATCTCTAGCTTTTGGGTATCTGTTCTATGCAACCCTACAGAATCACAGAGAATGAAGAAAAAAGGACCAAAGACATACCTGAAGAGCAAGCCGAGGCAGCAAGTGGAGATAAAATCGAATGAGAATGCCGGTTTTTTTGAATGAAATAAAAGAGAGAGAAAGAACTAAAAGAAGATATAAAGACTGTTGTTGGTCTAATGGTCACAGCTCAGAACTTGTTCATATTACCAGAAAAGAGAAGAAAATGAAAAGAGGAAAATCAGGAGAAGAATATGGAGAGGAAAGAGGAAAAGGACTCTTTTATCCCTTTGTTCTTAACCGTTTTTGGGTTTGGGTTTTTATCAGAGAAAAAAAACTTGTATTATTTTGTTTATATAACTTAGTTTGTTTGGTCAAACATCAAAATGACATAATTTGTGATGAGTTTATTTCATTCTTGTCGTGAAGGAATGGAGAAAGGAAGTTAAAGAAGGAAGAAATGCATGCCGTTTCGGTTAAGGAGATGGGTAGAGAGAGACGTCACAGCAACCTCTCTCCCCCGCCCAATTTATAAACCAGTCGGTTTCTTTTTTTTCTTTTTTGGCTGTCTCTATTGAATGTGAATGTGAATGTGATGAGATATTATTAACTGAACTTATGACAGTTTCTTTAACTGCCGATAGTTTTGTTGACTCATTTCAAGTTATGGCCATAACAATTAACAACATTATTCACTGGCATTGTCAAAGATAGGAGGCAACAATCTTTACCTGTGAGTTACCAATACGGCGTCGTATCTTTTCCTTTTTTGCTTTGGACTAACAAATTTTGTTGCACGATAATAGTTGACTCTTTTGTATGCGGTTTTATTACATTCCATATACAAAATTAAGGAACTTGAATACAATCTTCATATCTTGTTTTTATAAAAATATTACAGCTTCTAAAATTCCAAAACTACTAAAACAAATTTATGAATCTTATTACTGTAGAGGTGTTTATAGTCGTTTGAATTTTGTAGAACTTACCATATGGCTCACTAACTATCTTTATTCCAAACCTCAACCATTTTTTTTACTTTTTAACTATAATGCTAACACTCAGCATAAAGCAAATTTTACATCTTCATGTGATTTCTACAATGTAACCATTCTTTTTTGTCTTTGTAATACCTTTGATTATGCTAAGGTTGCCCTTTTGCCCTTTGCTTCTCTTGACTACAAGCAAAAGAAGATTTTGATGTTGTTAGTAATCAACTACTGGGTTTGTATCAGAGTGAAGAGAAATTATGGTGGAGAGGAGAGAGATACCGATTTTCTTGAATCCAGAAACTGGCTATATATGTCATAGAGCTTTTGTTTCTCGGTTTCGGAGACTGATGGTTTAGTTTTAGAAGCGATCGACTTCAAAAGAGGATCGGTTATTATTGGCGTAGTTCCAGTCTCAGGTTTATCTTCTCTGTTCAGATACTCGTGTACAGCTGCAAGTTGCGCATCTGAGAGAAGAGCTTGAAGATCAGCTCCACTGAAGCCTTCAGTCATCAAAGCTATAGGCTCTAAGTCAATATCATCAGCCATTGGAAGCTGCAGAAATGCAGAAAGATTTTTTGTCATTTTAACTTGTAATATATATATAGATAAATCTAATTTACATATTGTCTACGTAGACCAACATATGAATGCCAGAATCTGATGGGAATGGCTTAGCCATAGAGGATTCTAGTTAATGGTTGTTCAGATATGTAACATACATACTTTACATGAGATTTGAGGGGAAAAAAAAGATAATTAGCATAAATGATGTAACTCAGAGTACTAACCTTTCTAGAAAGAACTGTAAGAATCTCTAATCGTTCTGGTGGGGAAGGAAAGTCGCACATAAGAAGACGATCAAGCCGGCCAGGCCTTAGGAGTGCAGGATCAAGTAGATCTGGTCTACTGTTAATTGAGTCATATATCCATCAAGTCATATATCCATCAAGTCATATATCCATCTTTTGTATATAATGATTAACATAAATTGAGGACTGAGAACAGGCTTCAACGTTAATGGCTCCTATCATATATTGGATTTATTATTAACTATCAACTCAGAAGAATCCACCGTTTGCTGTTGATTCTGTGATACATTGAACACAAAATATGATATGCAAGATAGACTTATTCGGGTGTGAATACCTGGTTGCAGCAAATACAAAGACACCGGTTAGAACTTCAACTCCATCCAGTTCTGTCAAAAACTACGCAAAAGAAAAATATGATATGAGATGTTTGAACTTTACGTGTATCGAATATGCACAGACTTTGAAGTAACTTACTTGATTAACAACTCGATCAGTTACACCGGTATTATCATGTCCTCTCTTGGGAGCAATTGAATCGAATTCATCGAAAAAGAGTATGCATGGTGCTGCAGCTGCTGCTTTTGAAAATATATCACGGACCTGAAAGAAGTGTGTTTTTTCATTATTGGATATGCGGAACCTGAAGGATAACATTTTTCAGATTTTTTAGGTAAAGAGACTAGCAGGAATAACAGTTAAAAGGAACAAAGCTGTCTGAAAACTTTTCTCTAGAAACATTCTCAGAGATTTCTTTACCATTCTATTGTTTAATACAAGGTAAAGACTAAGCAAGTAACCCAGAAGAATAAAAAAAAATCAACAGTAAAGATAAAGCATGCGTCATTAAAGAACTGAAAAGCAGTATAATCATCTCAAAGGTTCTTTAAGATGGAAAACAAAGAAAGGTGTCATTCTTACCGCTTGTTCAGATGCACCAATGTATTTGTTTAACAACTCAGGCCCCTTCACTGATATAAACCGTAGGGAACACGCTGCAGCAGCTGCACCAACAATGTGAGTCTTCCCACAACCGGGTGGGCCATACAAGAGAACATTCGATCTCAAACGCAAAGGAGATTTTGCAAAGATTTTTGGAAATTTTGATGGCAGCTCAATCATCTGGACATGGCAAAGAGTAAATAAGTTGCATATCCAAAATTCTCTCTCTAAATAAGAACTGGTTCAAACTGTAGTTGTTAGCATAACTAGTAGCTCTCATATAGCACAGTGGAATTATTTCCGTCAGATTCATTCCAAGATATTTCAACTTATATCAACTCAGGTCTTACAGAAATATTGTTTCTCACGACCTAACTTCAGTAAGAGGATATCCAACGATATAAGTAAAAGCCAGCAGACAAAGACGCAGGTAACAGAAACTTCCTGGTTGCAATTATAAAAGGATAACAATATCGGCAAGATTTCCTACCCCACACTAATTTAGATTTTAATGAGGGCAACAAAATCAGATATGGCAATCAGCATACTTATATACCTCTTTGATAGCATTTTTAATATCAGTCACACCTCCCACATCTTCCCACCCCAAACGACCACCTTCAGAGGCGGATTTTGTGATGTCACGCATGGCAACAGGCACAAAATCATGCATAGCTCGAGTAAAGTCTTCTTTGACCAAATTATATTTGGATATATTTGATTCACAAGGTAGATGCCGGCCAATGGCAGCATGAACAGCTCTATCAACCAATATTTCCTGGAAGAAAAAAAAAGAGAATTTAAAGAGAGCACACTGTAGATTCGCGGATAGAATGATAATCAAATTAAAAACGAAATAGCAAGCTTGAACAAAAACAATATATAACATGAAAATCACAGATAGTATCAGCTTCCAAAGTCTGTCAACATTTCTTTCAAATGTATTTTCTGGTCTTAGCACAACGGCAAATTTAAAGCATATATAAAATTTATAATACCAGGTCATATGCATCATATCCTTCACATTTAGCAGCTAAGTCAAGCAATATGTCTTCTGAACAGTCTAAAAGGCGTTTCTGTATCTCATGCTTCAGTATGGCCCCACGTTCCGAGGTAGCAGGAGCAGCCAGTTGCACATGGAAATCAAACCGTCCTGAAAATATCAAATGAATAGTCACATGAACTGATTCTGTTAGAAATATTATTGTTAAAACAGGTAGAGATAACACGTTTGTACCTGATGAGCTCAATGTCTGTGGAATTTGCTCTAGAGACTGGACAGAAGCAACGAATGCAAGTGGGCCAATTCCACAAGAGTTATTCTTGTATTCCTGTTGAGTGAGCAAAAATATAACTGGTTAACTAAACGTGAGTCTCTAAAGGCATATCTTGGAGAAGAGTGGATTCAAGAAGTTCCAAGAACCACTTAATGTTGTATGCGTTAATAAGAAAGGTGAAAGCAGTTATCCGGACTATCAAGAGAAATGACGTTTGTCTTCGCATGGAGGAAGTCTTGCATTCAGATAATTAAATTCACCACACTTTGGAAAGTAACTCGTGATGCATAGATAATTGTGATCATAAACGTGCATATAATACTTGAAAACAATGGAACTGATAAACCTGATATCTTTCAAGAGTTCATACCCCATAATCATCTATAACATCTGTTAGGAATTTTGTAAGCATCGTAACCCCAACCGAAGCTTGTGTTCCTTCGGTATCTGAAGACGATGAGATAATGCTATCGAGATCATCCAAAATGATGACGGATGGTGCATGTTCCAAGCCCTCAGCTATTACACTAGAAAGGACTTGATGGATGTGTTGAACCTTCTCCAAGGCAAGCGTAGAACAGGATACTAAAATCCTGCACAAGGAAATCAATACTTAAGACCACATCTGAAGAAACTTGAAAAGTATGGTATAAACAACGAAAATACAACAAAAGTGCGGATTAAAGATGGTCTTACCCACCCCTTTTGATGGAAATGTTGAAACCACTGCAAACCTTATCACAGTTCGGTCATGCAACCACAAAGGGAATTTCATGGTCTCATGTAGTATCCTCACCTGAAACATATGTTTTGAAAATCCTTCAGCAGACCATTTGCAAACTGATTACGCTAATTTCACATAGCTAGAGTCACAAACCTGACTAAGTATAGCTGCCTCGGCAAGTTCTGCATTGAGCTCAAGAACTTCCCAGTCATCTTCAGTCTCTGGTTCGACTGTTACTAAAGTAGCCTTGGGCACATTAGGAAGAACACGAACTTTAACACGAACTTTAACAACTGTAACGAAATGCTTTCCGCAAACACTCGAGCGACCTTATTGGAAGAATCAAAATCAAAAACAGGGGAGAAGAAGAGTAATCAGAACTCCAAAACAAAGTAGTAAATTACTGGATTTGACTAAACGGAATCAAAACCTCGATCGCAGAAGAGGAGGAACTAGAGCCGGACCAAGCAACTGACCAACGGCGGTCACCGGAGCGGAGCTCGACAGGGAGAAGCGGAGAAGAGGAGAGGAGCTAGTGGATTGAAGCGCGTGTAGTAATTGACGAGGGAGTGAAATGAAACAGTCGACGCCGGCGATGGTACTAACCACCGCTTCTGTTTCCATCACGTCGGAGAGGATGATTTGGCCGATTGCGAAACAGGTACGATTTCCTAAGCTTATCTTTTTTGTCTGATTGCTAGCCTCGTTTTGGGCTTCAATAATTTATATTTGGGCTTGTCTAATTTCCTAATTGGGCCCTTTAAAAGCTAGTTAATTTTATTTTTCTGTTCAAAGAAAATTTACATGTAACAAAAAGAGAAACGATGTATACATACATCTATAGACTAAATATGCAACATTTTATGTCATCACTATGCATGAAAAGTACCATTTGTGAAACCAAAAACATAATAGAAAACGCTCTACAATTTCTCGATTGACTCAATTTTTACGTATATCTTTGCAGTTAATTAACGATAATGTAATCATTTGAGATCCACATTCAAATTGGAACCAAATCACCACCAAAAAGATGATGAGAAGAAAGATGAAATAGTACTACATACAAGTCTACAAAATTGGAAAGTAACAAAAACCCAAAAATACATAAACAAAAAGAGAAGGATTTGTTGAGTTTTTACATTTTCTTTTAGAGACGAGACAATTGAGAAAGATTAATAGGGTAACAATCGGATTTGGAACCATTAAAGGCTCTGAGTGCAATTATGAGATTAAAAGCTTGTGTTGGATGAAAAGCATCCCAGAACACATGTCGGTCTCTGAAAGCACATGGTACCGCTAGTGGCAAACACGTTATTTCTCCTCTGTTTCTACCTACTCCACAACACCCTCTATCCGTCACTTCGAATCCTATAAACCACATGCAAAACAACCATCCATTTCAACTTATAATTGGATTTTAATAACGTGATATATATATATGAACTTAGCTAAAACGAAACATTTGATCGAATAAATACAAGAGATAAACTAGATACTTAACCGTAATTAAAAGGGTTTGTGAGGATATCCACGGCGGCTCCATAGGTATTGCCATAAACAAAGATGGCTTCACTAGCAGTTTTACTATCGGAATTAAGACGGTCCACCAGCGACACGAGGCGGTTGTTGAAGAGTTCAGCCATCTCGTTAACCGCCTCCACACATTCACCTGGCGGAGCCGCTCGGGCGGCTAGTTGGTCCGGTATGCAACCCAATGGACCCACACCGGCTATTACAAATTTCCTAAACCCCTTTCCGTACAATTCCTAAACAAAAAATGTATAAAACTCGAATTATAGAGAAATAAAGAAAATGGTAAAAGATGCATGAATTAAATCAGACTTACAAGGAGATGAGTGGTAGAATTGGAGAGAAGGAGGTCGGCGAAAGAAGTAGGGTCGTAAATGGAGCTAGTGAGAAAAAGCGTTGGTTTCAGATAATTGTTAATGTAGTCATTGTTACCCAATGACACCACCACCAATGACTTTGCCATGTACTCTTTTACTGACTCTCTCCTCATGCTCCTACTGATCTCCATTAATGTCTTTTCGAAGTTCTCCACTTGTCTTCCCATGCTAAATCTCTCTCCCTTCATCCATGCATATGCATGCAACCACATCTAATTTATTAGAGTTTTTTTTGGGTTATTAAATACTCATATCTCGTAGGCAAAAGCATTTCATGCACCCTATCAAAGTCACTCGACATTAAATACTCTTCGTTAGTTTTATTGGTTGAACTCTTCCGGCGGACTTCATGCACCCCAATTCAGTTTTTTTTTTTTTTTTACTTAGCCAAAGATAAATTTCAATATCGAAAACCATGCATGTGCTTATTAACAAAAAGCATAGTACAAATCAAATATCAAGAAACACAAACGCTACTCTCCTTCTCTGATCTCGAGGCTCAAGTCTGACTTATAAGACAGTTCCGGCAAAAGCCGTTTTTCACCGGCGTAGTACAAAAACCGGTGAGTATTCATCACCACAAGCTCTTTTATTTTCATCTTCCCTCTCTGGTAACTACAAGATCTCGCCTAAAGCTCATTACGATCCAAAAAAAACTTGAAGCTTGCTTCTTTCTTTAAACTCTCTAAGTCTCTCTTCTTCACCAATAACAAACAACTGGACGCGGGGTATAATTCGATCAGCAACTCAAATTTCTTGTGACTTCTCTTTACCATCGAATATACGGAAGCTAGCGAAACTTCTACAGCTTTTTCCTTAATCTCAAAACAGGACTTCACTTTCAAATTAGGCACATCCGGCAAGAGTAATTGTCAATTTCTTGAATAACAATCTGATCTTCCCAACCAGGTTCACACGTGTGCAATCACCAAACTTAGCAAAACCTTCACACAAAGAACCTTCGAGACCCTTTGTTGCGCTTAGAGACTCAAAACACGTTTCCAACTCTTCTTCTCACAATAGGCTTTTTCTGGGGCTTTATCAAAATTAAATAAGATACTGGGCCAAAAATCCCAAAACCGGCCCATGATGAAAATACTCGCCATCTTTTTCTATCTTTCCCGACGAGAAGAGAAACACGAAGATTCATGTTCACAGCCCTGCAATTTCCGGTGAACTCAATATTTATTCTGCCTCCATCATCCACTGAGATAATCTTGAGACCTCAAAATCTCCAATTCTCTTTTCTTCTTCAATCCCAAAAGCAATTTCAGAGAAATTCAATCGTACTTTCAGCAAATATACCTTCTTTTTACCCATCTAGCCACACAACCAAGATCTAACCTGTTAGAGATAGTAATCTCAGATCGGTTTCCCGCTCTGATACCAATTGAAGTTACTATGTGTGTACTAGATCTATGCGTTTGTACAATGGGAGAGTGCAGCGAATGTAAAGAGCATAAAGTAAAGACGACGCAGAGATTTGTTAACGGGGTTCGGTTAACAACCTACATCCCCGGGACCTAGTCCAGAAATCATTCCACTAGAACAAGATTGCAAATACAATTGCGTATGATATATAATACAGCATAACTATGCCTACCATTCTTTTCTAGATGAACTTTGGAAACAGTACCAAGCCACGCATGTCTTGACTACCACCCGGCAGCACCGGTGCATCACCGTCTTCTCTAACGGCTGCAGATTCCAAAGGAATACCACCAACAGATCTTCATCTGACTTGGTGGGGCGACGCCACACACGCATGTGTGCCTCTTTCTCAAATATACCATAGACGCGCAACCTTTCTTTGTCACGGCAGCCATCTATATATACTCAAGACAAAACCCTAAACTCCAAATATTCTCGCAATCTTTTTTCCTTGATTCGAAAGTATCCGAGCCACCACTAAAGGAAACATCACGTCTCCAATAGAATCACGCCACGTCATATTCATTTCCAACTTGATTCTTCCTGCGTTCAGTTCTCCTGTTGTGTTACACAGCTGCTGCCTGTGGAACACAACTCTGATACTTTCTGTTGATACTCTTGCGTCACACAGATGTTTCAATACCTCTGTTGTTGTCTGCATAAAACTCTTGTGTCACACAGACGTCCTGTTATCATATCACCTCTTGAGCTGTGCCATCATCTTGAGTCTAACAACCAGTTACAAACATACCTTCAATCTCCCCCTTTGTTACTGGGTTTTAGAACTCAAGCTCACCTTGTACCTTGTAGCTTTGATGATCTTCAATCTTCAATACTATCTCAGAATCTCTCCCTAAACTCTCATTGCCTCTGTTGTGATTCTGACCGAGTGTCCATGTTCCAACTGCCAAAGCTACACAACTCAACATCACAAATATACTAACAGCTCCTACTGATCTCCATTAATGTCTTTTCGAAGTTCTCCACTTGTCTTCCCATGCTAAATCTCTCTCCCTTCATCCATGCATATGCATGCAACCACATCTAATTTATTAGAGTTTTTTTTGGGTTATTAAATACTCATATCTCGTAGGCAAAAGCATTTCATGCACCCTATCAAAGTCGCTCGACATTAAATACTCTTCGTTAGTTTTATTGGTTGAACTCTTCCGGCGGACTTCATGCACCCCAATTCAGTTTTTTTTTTTTTTTTACTTAGCCAAAGATAAATTTCAATATCGAAGACCATGCGTGTGCTTATTAACAAAAAGCATAGCACAAATCAATTATAGGTTTTACTTTTGGAAATTTCGAACTTGGATTCTTTATGTGAGTACTCAATCGATAAGACCAATTTCGTTAAACAAAATTTTTGATATGATGAACTAACACGGTAAAAAAAAACATATCCTATTTATTTCAAAAATGTTTTGAACAATTAATAAAAATAAACATTTAGAAAGAAAAAAGAAGAAGTACCAGATGTCGACCGGTTTCCTCTAAGATTCCTCCGGCAGCTGAGGCATAGTTCACTCCCTGGAGAATATCCACTCCTCCGTCCACCGTGTCCATAAATGCGGGTATCTCCGGCAGCCCTAGCAACTCTCCTGCAACCATCCACATCCATCCCCATCAATGGCGGACCCAGGATTTATTTTTACCTGGGTCATAGATATTTTTTTAACATGTAAAAGAAGAAAAATTACACAAAAGTGTAAGAGGGAAGGTTTGAACTCGTTCAAAGGGGGTGTCAATAATGTGGAATTTGCCAACTGTGCTAGTATCTCTTTAAAGAATCGTCTGCATTAAATGTTATTTGTAGATTTAACCTGGGTCAACTGACCCACCTTTTTCCTTATTGGGTCTGCCACTGATCCCCATCATGTTAATTGTTAACCCAAAACAAACTAAATAATTTAAACCAAAAAGGTAAAAGGGCGAATCTTGTTCTAAATTTATGCATGCATTGATTTCAAAACCAAATGCATGTAGAGACCGATCGATGTATATGTAATTATGTACCCATGAAATCGACGATAGTTTTGCCGTTAGAGAAGCGACCGGTGGGTTGATTTCCGGCGAAATCAATGCCGTAAGGGAGATAGTTGGACCTAGCCAATGAGTTCAAGTGGTTATTGTTTCCGTTGTCCACCAACGAGTCTCCGAACACAAACATCGCCGGAAACATTGCCGTCTCGGATGAGACTTCTCCACCGGCAAGTCCTACTACTACTAGAAACCATGGAACAAGCACTAATGATTGTACTGTGCAAGACATCATCATGTCTTTAAATTTGAATATTTCACTATCATGCATGATTATTGCATGGTCGCTCGAGATATATAAATAGATCATAAATCATGATTGTGATGGTTCCTTCCTTGGATTTTATTGTTTATTATTTTTATTTCGTATCAGTGAATTTAATGAGTTCTGTTTTCCGTTGACTTATATAACAAAATATTGTACTGTAGAAATCAAGATAAAAAAAACAATAAAATCTAATGGTATATCTATGAACAATTCAGTTAATATAAAGTTTTAAGAAAAAATGAAAGATTGAATAACCTCTCTAATGGTCCACCGCGGGAGAATATTGGTTTACATACAGTAAAACCTCTATAAAATAATACTCTATAAATTAATAACCTCTCTAAATTAATAAATTCTTTCGGTCCCGAGTTGGGACCAGTGTAAAATATGACATAAATCGATAAATTAATAAGATAATAACTTTTTTTAAAATCCCATGTAAATATATGGTCCCATCTATATCATAAATTAATAATTGTATAAATTTATCAATACATATATGTATATTTAACTTAATATATATATGATATAAATTTATACTTCATATATGAATTACTATGATATATATTTAAAATATTATATGTAAGATATTTAATGAAATATGACTCTCTTATTAGAAAAAAGTTTGTGTTGGTTTTTAAACTTAATAATTACTTTTGTACTTGTAATTGGTTTTAAAAATATATTGTTTATAAAGAAAAAATTAATTTTTAGATAGAAATTTTTTAAAAAATTACAAAATTAGTAAAATCTCTCTATAAATTAATATTTATTAATTTATCGATAAAATAATACCTCTCTAAATTAATAAAATTTCATGGTCCCAACATTATTAATTTATAGAGGTTTTACTGTACGTTGCGTTTAATATTGTGTGTGTTTTTTAGTAGAACGAATCGTGTAGTATACTTATAAATATTCATAATAACGAATTGTAGAGAAAATGTAAAATTGTTTATAAATATACCCATCGTATTAATTATGATTTACAAAATAGAATTTTGTGTTTTAAAATTCTAAAATTAGACTATTCATGAGAATTAGAGCAGTCAAAATAGGTCAAAAACCGCGGGTCGAGCCCACATCATCTCACTATGGGGCAGATTTGGGAAAATATATTAAACCCGCAAATAAGCGGGCCACATGGATTAATTCGCAGTGGGTCATAGGTTTAATCGGTTTTCATCGTCCGCGGGTTGGCGGATCAGCCCGCATATTAGTATTTATTGATAAAATTATAATTTATTCAACATGTGGTAATTTAAACAAACTTTTAATAGTATTTTGATTTATTTATTTATTTTAGTAGTATTTTAAATTTTGGTTACTTTAAAATTATTTAAACAAAATCCATGGACAATCCCGCAAACAAAGATGGCTTCACTAGCAGTTTTACTATCGGAATTAAGACGGTCCACCAGCGACACGAGGCGGTTGTTGAAGAGTTCAGCCATCTCGTTAACCGCCTCCACACATTCACCTGGCGGAGCCGCTCGGGCGGCTACTTGGTCCGGTATGCAACCCAATGGACCCACACCGGCTATTACAAATTTCCTAAACCCCTTTCCGTACAATTCCTAAACAAAAAATGTATAAAACTCGAATTATAGAGAAATAAAGAAAATGGTAAAAGATGCATGAATTAAATCAGACTTACAAGGAGATGAGTGGTAGAATTGGAGAGAAGGAGGTCGGCGAAAGAAGTAGGGTCGTAAATGGAGCTAGTGAGAAAAAGCGTTGGTTTCAGATAATTGTTAATGTAGTCATTGTTACCCAATGACACCACCACCAAGGACTTTGCCATGTACTCTTTTACTGACTCTCTCCTCATGCTCCTGAAGTTACTATGTGTGTACTAGATCTATGCGTTTGTACAATGGGAGAGTGCAGCGAATGTAAAGAGCATAAAGTAAAGACGACGCAGAGATTTGTTAACGGGGTTCGGTTAACAACCTACATCCCCGGTACCTAGTCCAGAAATCATTCCACTAGAACAAGATTGCAAATACAATTGCGTATGATAATACATCATAACTATGCCTACCATTCTTTTCTAGATGAACTTTGGAAACAGTACCAAGCCACGCATGTCTTGACTACCACCCGGCAGCACCGGTGCATCACCGTCTTCTCTAACGGCTGCAGATTCCAAAGGAATACCACCAACAGATCTTCATCTGACTTGGTGGGGCGACGCCACACACGCATGTGTGCCTCTTTCTCAAATATACCATAGACGCGCAACCTTTCTTTGTCACGGCAGCCATCTATATATACTCAAGACAAAACCCTAAGCTCCAAATATTCTCGCAATCTTTTTTCCTTGATTCGAAAGTATCCGAGCCACCACTAAAGGAAACATCACGTCTCCAATAGAATCACGCCACGTCATATTCATTTCCAACTTGATTCTTCCTGCGTTCAGTTATCCTGTTGTGTTACACAGCTGCTGCCTGTGGAACACAACTCTGATACTTTCTGTTGATACTCTTGCGTCACACAGATGTTTCAATACCTCTGTTGTTGTCTGCATAAAACTCTTGTGTCACACAGACGTCCTGTTATCATATCACCTCTTGAGCTGTGCCATCATCTTGAGTCTAACAACCAGTTACAAACATACCTTCAATCTCCCCCTTTGTTACTGGGTTTTAGAACTCAAGCTCACCTTGTACCTTGTAGCTTTGATGATCTTCAATCTTCAATACTATCTCAGAATCTCTCCCTAAACTCTCATTGCCTCTGTTGTGATTCTGACCGAGTGTCCATGTTCCAACTGTCAAAGCTACACAACTCAACATCACAAATATACTAACATTCTCCCCCTTGATGGCTGAGTTGTAGCTCACATGATCTAGCATCTCCCCCTTGATGGCTGAGTTGTAACTCACATGATCTAGCATCTTCATTCTCCCCCTTTTTATCTTAGTTTGAAACTCAAGCAATTAACCATACAGGAAATACCAAGAAAAAATCTCGATGCTCCCCTTGTGACCAAACTGCTAGCTTCAATCTCATAAATGCAATATATCGCCCAGACTTCATCTCCCCCTGCTTGAGTGCACAACTAAAGATAAAACTTCACATTAAATGGGCATTTTCCTTTTGCCTGGATGTTAGAGCATGTTTAAACATCTGCTGAGCCCTGTAGACACTCATAATTGCCTTCGACTTCTCTGAAATTATGCAAACACATTCTCAGGATCCACTATCAATCACTACACCAGAATCCTAACAGAGGGCTTGATGCATCACTTGTGTAAACAAGAACAATTAAAAGCACTTTCAACAGCTAGGTACAATAGCGTCACCTGTGAAACATAAAATATCCCAAATGACACATGTTCCATCTTTGCAGCTGCATAGTAAAACAGGATTTCCACACAAATAAAAACAGCTTGTGACTGCAACATAAAACAGATGAACTGACTTTAGAAGAATCTGCTTCACCATCAACAAGAAACCGCTGTCGCCAATAGGAACAAGATCTAAGCCTGCCGTACACACAGAACAGTCACTTCTGATGTGGTAGCAGTTCTAAGAACAATTTGCAGAAACAACTTCCAACAGCTCCAGCCCGTCTTATGACCCAGCTTGTAGAAAAACCATCAACATCAGCTCTTCTATTAAACTGCTCTCACCTGTAACCAAAACAACATCTAGTGTATGGAAATATCTTCGATCTCTTCTTTCTAGCTCGGTTTAATACTCCAATCACCCAATGAAACCAACACAAAAACCACCAGAAAACCATACTTCTGCTTGAAAGCAGCGTTGAAGTAAAATCCAGATTAATCTACCTTGAGACAACCAAAACACAACATCTTATGTGCCCAACAGTGAACCAGTGTGGATAAAACAGGCGATTGCAACTTCTGCAATAGATGTTGTTTTAGTATGTGATACGTCCGAGTTCAACAAACACAAGAACCTCATATAAAATCCTTTAATTTTAAGCACTAGAGCAACACGACTTCTTGAATTTCAATAGCGATGTCCCAACTTTCACCTACAAGACACTTCAGCTTCCTGGGCTAAAACTTAACCGGAGTTACTCAACTCTGAGTATTCTACCTCAGATTGATCCCGACCAACATCTCCTTGCAGATGTCACTTAAGCTAACCTTGCAGAACTGAACCGGAGTTACACAACTCTGGTATGTTACCTCAGATTGATCCCGACCATCTTATAATATTAGTGAAAGTGAATCCTTCTCTTGAACTTCAACAAATGAGTGCTCTTACTCTTCTTTCTTCTTTCAACGAACATGGGTATTCTTGTTTAAGCGCAGTTATTTTCATCCATTAATGCTCCTGCTTTTCTAAGAAACATCCTTTCACCAAAGGAGTTCCATAACAAGGCTTGAACACAATACACTAAGGTTCTTTGATCAACAGATATCTAAGCCCATTCCACAGAGACTGAATCAACAAACGACCTTCACATGGTATCTGAACAGTAGCCCTTATGCTCATCGAGCCAATTCCTTAAAAACATCAAGCATGAATATCACAAGTACCTTGTAATTTGCAGCGGAAAAAACAGACTTCAAAACTCCGAATTTTGAATCTTCAATATGTCTTTGATTTTGATGTTCATAATCTTGGCTTAATCTCTCCTTGCAGCATTTTCCAGAAATATCTCAGTTTTATTCCGCTTGCGAGATGTGCCCATATGTCGTTTCATTTTCTCTCTTCTTCAACTGCCACTTTAGTGAGACGACACTCACCGACCAATCTCAATTTCCCTCTCACTGAGATTTCTCTTTTACTTCTTCACTTAGTCGAGTCCAAAAAAAAACATATTTCCTTTTCTCTGTTTGTTTCTTCTTGACAGCAAGAACACATACATTGACCCATAGATTAAGACTCCAAGAGTTTTTCTCCCCTTCTTCTTGACAGCTTCATGAATCAAAGCCAGCCACAATCCTACTTAACAAGTTTCGACTCTTTCCGGTGATCCTGCAGAATTCCACGATACTTGTCTCGATCTCAAAACATGGAGTATAAATAAGCTTCAAGAGAGATATCAAGTCACCAACAACAATCCACACTCTTCTTAAACATCCACACAAATACTTTCTCCATGACGTATTTCTTCGTTACTCTTCTGAATTGTTCAGGGACCATACTTGTTCATACTTCAACTCCATAGACATTGTTTAAAAGCACCCACTGATCCACTTAAACTTCTTCTTTGAGCTTGTATAGACTTCATCAACTTGCACTGACTCTTTTCCACAAACAAGGAGCTCTTGTACTGAAGCATCCGTAACTGTTTGATTAACGGCATAACCGGAATAGCAAAACAACCCGGAAAATTATGAAACATTGTGGAAAAATCAACCACATTCATACGGAGCCACAGGAGAAAGCGGATCAGGATTCGAGTTTACGGTTCGAAAGTTATGGCCAAAATCTCAACACAGATCCGGAATGATACGCCCTGCGAACAACCAACTTTGAAAGCAAATTCCTATCAAACCACAATGAACCAGAAGAAGATATTGATAGCATTGGAGAGATCTCATTTCCAAGATTCCAGAAAATCTTTAAATGCTCAAATCAGAGGTCTATGGCCAAGTCAAACGAAGGGGACAAAGTCAGATAAAAAACCACTTCATCAAACATCAGCTTCATCAAATCTGTTTTGATGCAGAACACAAAACGAAGTAGCAAACCAACCCAGAAAATTCTGAAAATTGGTTGCAGGACCAACATCAGACATACGGAGTTACAGGAGAAGACGGAACAGGATTTGGATTTTTGGTTTGAAACTTATGGCTAATTTCCCATGACAGATCCAGAATGACATAATCTGCGAGCAGCCAACTTTGAGGACGAATTCCCATCAAACTACAAGGAAACAGAAGATGGTCTTGATGTCGTTGGAAAGATCTCTCTTTCAACATTCCAGAACATCTTTCAGAAGCGAAATCCAATGTTGGTAGCCAAAGAAAACAAGGACGAAAATATCAACCTTGAGACATAAAACTCTCTGAAACCTGAAACCTTTGAGACATAAAACTCTCTGAAACCTGAAACCTTTTTCTCATCATTCTTTGAATATCCACAAGAACCAGCAACATCTTTAAGAACCCATATTCCATTGGCTCCATCTTTGATGCATCTTTATTATGAAGATCAAGAACCATTGTTGGCGTCATGATCAAGAACAAACTTCCCTTTCTCTAACCTCTTTGCTTTTTCCATGAAGCTTCTTGCTCTTGGTTTCAACAGTCTTCTCCCCCTTGTTGATTGTGTGTCTCAATAAAAGCCATGACACATACATCAACACACATCCATTAAAACCCAATGCTTCTATAAAAGCAACACCAAAAGAACGTAGCTTCAGAAACAAATAATATGGCCAATCAATTAGTTATCTCATTGTATCACTTTCAATGAGCTGACTTCCAACCACAATAACCCTCGTAGAGTCATGAATCATGTTTCTGAATTTTCTTGACCAAATCATAATCTCTTTGTGAAAATTAAGCAAACCAGTCTTCAATTCAAGGAACAAAAGAAACCCATGATTCTTCAAAACTCTGGAACCTCAACAATTCTAAAGCAGCCCAAACCATCAAGAAGGCTCAAAATCCAGAAACGTCACCAACAAACTCCAAACATGACATCAGTCCTCAAATCACAGCATCAAACCAAGCAAGAGAAATATGTCAAGCTGAGAATCTCAATTTTAGATTTTTATCCTTTGCGAAGTTTGCGACCACTCTTTTAGACGAAAAGCATTCACATCCTCTCCTCCTTGGGACTTCTTCTCCGAAAGTGACATAGGATGTGATTCCAAAAACCTGAAATTGACTTTAGATCAATAGCAGCAAATCTCCCATGGCCATTCCTCCTGACAAGCGACACTAGAACCAGATGTAACTCCAGTCATTGCTACTGCATTTTCGACGATGTAACCTGAAAAACCAACGGAAATCTCCACCACCGACATGGTTGTCGCTGCAAGCATTGAAGCTTATTTCTTCAACCAGACTCACACGTGTTATTGAACATGTGGACTAAGAAGGAATTGACCCATCTTCTAATCTCAATGCTGACCCAAGTTTCAGATCAGCCCATCAAACAACATCAACATGAGACCAATAAAACTCATCTCTTCACATCTCCGATAACTTTAACAAGGCTTTCTTAGTATCAGGATACGTCGGCCAGCAGTTTCTACGACGGAACCAAACACTAATATGCAACAGAGATTTTCTCTTTCATGGTGGCAAGAAACACAAACGCTACTCTCCTTCTCTGATCTCGAGGCTCAAGTCGACTTATAAGACAGTTCCGGCAAAAGCCGTTTTTCACCGGCGTAGTACAAAAACCGGTGAGTATTCATCACCACAAGCTCTTTTATTTTCATCTTCCCTCTCTGGTAACTACAAGATCTCGCCTAAAGCTCATTACGATCCAAAAAAAACTTGAAGCTTGCTTCTTTCTTTAAACTCTCTAAGTCTCTCTTCTTCACCAATAACAAACAACTGGACGCGGGGTATAATTCGATCAGCAACTCAAATTTCTTGTGACTTCTCTTTACCATCGAATATACGGAAGCTAGCGAAACTTCTACAGCTTTTTCCTTAATCTCAAAACAGGACTTCACTTTCAAATTAGGCACATCCGGCAAGAGTAATTGTCAATTTCTTGAATAACAATCTGATCTTCCCAACCAGGTTCACACGTGTGCAATCACCAAACTTAGCAAAACCTTCACACAAAGAACCTTCGAGACCCTTTGTTGCGCTTAGAGACTCAAAACACGTTTCCAACTCTTCTTCTCACAATAGGCTTTTTCTGGGGCTTTATCAAAATTAAATAAGATACTGGGCCAAAAATCCCAAAACCGGCCCATGATGAAAATACTCGCCATCTTTTTCTATCTTTCCCGACGAGAAGAGAAACACGAAGATTCATGTTCACAGCCCTGCAATTTCCGGTGAACTCAATATTTATTCTGCCTCCATCATCCACTGAGATAATCTTGAGACCTCAAAATCTCCAATTCTCTTTTCTTCTTCAATCCCAAAAGCAATTTCAGAGAAATTCAATCGTACTTTCAGCAAATATACCTTCTTTTTACCCATCTAGCCACACAACCAAGATCTAACCTGTTAGAGATAGTAATCTCAGATCGGTTTCCCGCTCTGATACCAATTGAAGTTACTATGTGTGTACTAGATCTATGCGTTTGTACAATGGGAGAGTGCAGCGAATGTAAAGAGCATAAAGTAAAGACGACGCAGAGATTTGTTAACGGGGTTCGGTTAACAACCTACATCCCCGGGACCTAGTCCAGAAATCATTCCACTAGAACAAGATTGCAAATACAATTGCGTATGATATATAATACAGCATAACTATGCCTACCATTCTTTTCTAGATGAACTTTGGAAACAGTACCAAGCCACGCATGTCTTGACTACCACCCGGCAGCACCGGTGCATCACCGTCTTCTCTAACGGCTGCAGATTCCAAAGGAATACCACCAACAGATCTTCATCTGACTTGGTGGGGCGACGCCACACACGCATGTGTGCCTCTTTCTCAAATATACCATAGACGCGCAACCTTTCTTTGTCACGGCAGCCATCTATATATACTCAAGACAAAACCCTAAACTCCAAATATTCTCGCAATCTTTTTTCCTTGATTCGAAAGTATCCGAGCCACCACTAAAGGAAACATCACGTCTCCAATAGAATCACGCCACGTCATATTCATTTCCAACTTGATTCTTCCTGCGTTCAGTTCTCCTGTTGTGTTACACAGCTGCTGCCTGTGGAACACAACTCTGATACTTTCTGTTGATACTCTTGCGTCACACAGATGTTTCAATACCTCTGTTGTTGTCTGCATAAAACTCTTGTGTCACACAGACGTCCTGTTATCATATCACCTCTTGAGCTGTGCCATCATCTTGAGTCTAACAACCAGTTACAAACATACCTTCAATCTCCCCCTTTGTTACTGGGTTTTAGAACTCAAGCTCACCTTGTACCTTGTAGCTTTGATGATCTTCAATCTTCAATACTATCTCAGAATCTCTCCCTAAACTCTCATTGCCTCTGTTGTGATTCTGACCGAGTGTCCATGTTCCAACTGCCAAAGCTACACAACTCAACATCACAAATATACTAACAGCTCCTACTGATCTCCATTAATGTCTTTTCGAAGTTCTCCACTTGTCTTCCCATGCTAAATCTCTCTCCCTTCATCCATGCATATGCATGCAACCACATCTAATTTATTAGAGTTTTTTTTGGGTTATTAAATACTCATATCTCGTAGGCAAAAGCATTTCATGCACCCTATCAAAGTCGCTCGACATTAAATACTCTTCGTTAGTTTTATTGGTTGAACTCTTCCGGCGGACTTCATGCACCCCAATTCAGTTTTTTTTTTTTTTTTACTTAGCCAAAGATAAATTTCAATATCGAAGACCATGCGTGTGCTTATTAACAAAAAGCATAGCACAAATCAATTATAGGTTTTACTTTTGGAAATTTCGAACTTGGATTCTTTATGTGAGTACTCAATCGATAAGACCAATTTCGTTAAACAAAATTTTTGATATGATGAACTAACACGGTAAAAAAAAACATATCCTATTTATTTCAAAAATGTTTTGAACAATTAATAAAAATAAACATTTAGAAAGAAAAAAGAAGAAGTACCAGATGTCGACCGGTTTCCTCTAAGATTCCTCCGGCAGCTGAGGCATAGTTCACTCCCTGGAGAATATCCACTCCTCCGTCCACCGTGTCCATAAATGCGGGTATCTCCGGCAGCCCTAGCAACTCTCCTGCAACCATCCACATCCATCCCCATCAATGGCGGACCCAGGATTTATTTTTACCTGGGTCATAGATATTTTTTTAACATGTAAAAGAAGAAAAATTACACAAAAGTGTAAGAGGGAAGGTTTGAACTCGTTCAAAGGGGGTGTCAATAATGTGGAATTTGCCAACTGTGCTAGTATCTCTTTAAAGAATCGTCTGCATTAAATGTTATTTGTAGATTTAACCTGGGTCAACTGACCCACCTTTTTCCTTATTGGGTCTGCCACTGATCCCCATCATGTTAGTTGTTAACCCAAAACAAACTAAATAATTTAAACCAAAAAGGTAAAAGGGCGAATCTTGTTCTAAATTTATGCATGCATTGATTTCAAAACCAAATGCATGTAGAGACCGATCGATGTATATGTAATTATGTACCCATGAAATCGACGATAGTTTTGCCGTTAGAGAAGCGACCGGTGGGTTGATTTCCGGCGAAATCAATGCCGTAAGGGAGATAGTTGGACCTAGCCAATGAGTTCAAGTGGTTATTGTTTCCGTTGTCCACCAACGAGTCTCCGAACACAAACATCGCCGGAAACATTGCCGTCTCGGATGAGACTTCTCCACCGGCAAGTCCTACTACTACTAGAAACCATGGAACAAGCACTAATGATTGTACTGTGCAAGACATCATCATGTCTTTAAATTTGAATATTTCACTATCATCCATGATTATTGCATGGTCGCTCGAGATATATAAATAGATCATAAATCATGATTGTGATGGTTCCTTCCTTGGATTTTATTGTTTATTATTTTTATTTCGTATCAGTGAATTTAATGAGTTCTGTTTTCCGTTGACTTATATAACAAAATATTGTACTGTAGAAATCAAGATAAAAAAAACAATAAAATCTAATGGTATATCTATGAACAATTCAGTTAATATAAAGTTTTAAGAAAAAATGAAAGATTGAATAACCTCTCTAATGGTCCACCGCGGGAGAATATTGGTTTACATACAGTAAAACCTCTATAAAATAATACTCTATAAATTAATAACCTCTCTAAATTAATAAATTCTTTCGGTCCCGAGTTGGGACCAGTGTAAAATATGACATAAATCGATAAATTAATAGGATAATAACTTTTTTTAAAATCCCATGTAAATATATGGTCCCATCTATATCATAAATTAATAATTGTATAAATTTATCAATACATATATGTATATTTAACTTAATATATATATGATATAAATTTATACTTCATATATGAATTACTATGATATATATTTAAAATATTATATGTAAGATATTTAATGAAATATGACTCTCTTATTAGAAAAAAGTTTGTGTTGGTTTTTAAACTTAATAATTACTTTTGTACTTGTAATTGGTTTTAAAAATATATTGTTTATAAAGAAAAAATTAATTTTTAGATAGAAATTTTTTAAAAAATTACAAAATTAGTAAAATCTCTCTATAAATTAATATTTATTAATTTATCGATAAAATAATACCTCTCTAAATTAATAAAATTTCATGGTCCCAACATTATTAATTTATAGAGGTTTTACTGTACGTTGCGTTTAATATTGTGTGTGTTTTTTAGTAGAACGAATCGTGTAGTATACTTATAAATATTCATAATAACGAATTGTAGAGAAAATGTAAAATTGTTTATAAATATACCCATCGTATTAATTATGATTTACAAAATAGAATTTTGTGTTTTAAAATTCTAAAATTAGACTATTCATGAGAATTAGAGCAGTCAAAATAGGTCAAAAACCGCGGGTCGAGCCCACATCATCTCACTATGGGGCAGATTTGGGAAAATATATTAAACCCGCAAATAAGCGGGCCACATGGATTAATTCGCAGTGGGTCATAGGTTTAATCGGTTTTCATCGTCCGCGGGTTGGCGGATCAGCCCGCATATTAGTATTTATTGATAAAATTATAATTTATTCAACATGTGGTAATTTAAACAAACTTTTAATAGTATTTTGATTTATTTATTTATTTTAGTAGTATTTTAAATTTTGGTTACTTTAAAATTATTTAAACAAAATCCATGGACAATCCCGCAAATCCGCATACATTCGCGGGACGGGTTTGTATTTCATATATGCTACCTGCAGGTCATGCGGACCGACTAACTACAAGTCAAAATATTTGTTGTCTATCGCAAAACGGACTTAACGGGACGAATCAACTCGCTTTGACAGTTCTAATGGGAATATTATTTAGTTATACAACAAAATGAAGTTTGGACATAGTAATAATAGAATATGTATCTTATTTGTTAGATGAGAGATTGAAAGATGAAGTATAATGATTAAAAATTAATTATTATTTTTCATGATTCACAAAATTTAATAAATACTTATCATCTTGTTGAATAATTCTAAAATCATATTCAAGAAATCTTTATAAATTGAAAATTAAACTTCTTTGGTAAGCTATATGTATGAAAATATCATAATTTCGATTTAATCTAATTAAATTAAAATTAGTTACATAGATTTCATATCTATTTAATTTACACGACCAAAATAAAAAGATCTATTTAATTTTTTTTTTATTTTTTTTAACGTCTGGATTTATTATTTATTGCAAATTATGAGAACTGTTACATAGACGATTCTACAAGGGACAATTCCTTCCGACCCTTATTAGATCCACGACAGACGACACCTTCTTCACCTTCTTCTTCATACTCACCTCCTTCACCTCCTTCTTTATGCTCTTGATGGACACTTCCCCTCTGCGTAGAATCCTGGCGAACGGCTATAATTGTACATCGCTGGAGATCTCCTGCACACTTGTCTCCAATAATCTGCAAATTTATTAATAAATCGCAGTATCTGGGACTCGAACCCCAGACCTCTGGGTGTAGAAGCATTAATTAACCCTTGTTCAACCAATGGACCAATGGGGCTTCCACTATCTATTTAATTTACACGACCAAAATAAAAATATCAATTTAATTTATAAAACAGATGTGTTATTTGTGATAAATTTTCTAGAAATCTTTAGAAGCAAATAAAATATCTTTCAATTAATGATAATTGGCTAAAATGAGCGAAATTAATAACAAAAACGTTGATTGTTATGGAATTAGTCCCAAAAATATATGAACAAATTTATTATACGTAATTAATGTATAATATTGTTTGGAATATGCTTTTATTATTAGTTACCATAAGTACAATCAGATTTTATTTGATTTCCATAAATATTTGATTTTATTTCGATTTTTCATTATTAATTCGAATTTATATTCCAAAAAAATTTTAAAGATCCGATTTCAGAATTTCGGGTCAATTTTCTGATTTTAACCCAATCCATTTTCATTTGTACTTCTCTTTTAATAGTATAGAGATATAACAAAATATTGTACTGTAGAAATCAAGATAAAAAAACAATAAAATCTAATGGTATATCTAACAATTCAGTTAATATAAAGTTTTAAGAAAAAATGAAAGATTGAATAAGTATGAGGGCAAAACCGCAATAAATAAAACCTAAGTGCACGACGACAAGAAGCAAATATTAACGCGAAAAATAAACATTTGTCCAAAATTAAGCAGCAAACCAAGGAGAACGGAAAAAAAACTCAGAGAGGCAAAAGTCCGAATCCAGTTTGGCATTTATACTCTTCCCGGCGGCAAAAAATCCATAAGGCTTTGCTTCTTCGTACTCTGCTTCAGTTTCAATTGGTAAAAAATCCTTTTTTTTTAATCTTCGTCTCTGTGTTCATTTTAGGGATTCAATGTTAGTCTGGTGATTCAAATTCTGTGTTTTGCTCTAGGTTGCGTAATAATCAAGCGCAATTCTATCTGTTGCATCAGTGATTTTTTGGGTTTGTGAATTTGGGAGTGATGAGTGGTGTTCCAAAGAGATCTCACGAAGAGGGTGTTACTCATCCATCTTCTTCTTCTTCAGCAGCAAAATACCCTCACGAGGATTCTGGATCTTACCCTAAATCGCCGCATCAGCCTGTTACGCCACCACCGGCTCAGGTTCATCATCACCATCAACAACAACCCCATCAGCATCCCCAACCTCAATCTCAACCTCACCTCCACACGCTTCCTCATCCCCATTCTCATTCTCACTCTCATTCACCACTTGCTGCTGCTGCTGCTTCTGCTCCTTATGAGGTTGAATCTAGAACGGTGGTTAAGGTTGCGAGAAGTGAGCCTAGAGATGGAGAGAGACGCTCTCCTCTCCCTCTTGTCTATCGGTCTCCGTCCCTGCCCACTACTGTTTCTTCTAGTGATCCTCATTTGACTCACGCCCCTGTGCCCATGGAACCGAGAGATGGTACTAAGGATGGTAGGGAAATTAGGGTTGAGAACAGAGAAAATAGGAGTGATGGAAGAGAGATTTATGGTGAGACAAAGAGAGAGATTCAGGGTCCTAAGAGTGACAGAGATGTGAAGTTTGATAGATCAGTAGACGACTTTAGCGGAAAAGGTAATACTGGAAGCTATACTAGGAATGATGGGAGTGAGATGTATGGCGAGACTAAGAGGGAGATTCAGGGCCCTAAGAGTGACAGGGATGCCAAGTTTGAGCGTCCAGGGGATGATTTTAGCGGAAAAAGTAATACCGGTAGCTATACTAGGGATACCAAATTTGATAGGGAGAATCAGAATTATAATGAACAAAAGGCGGAGATTAAGATGGAAAAGGACGGGCATGCTCACTTGGCTTGGAAAGAGCAGAAGGATTACCATAGAGGCAAGAGAGTTGCTGAAGGTTCGACTGCAAATGTGGATCCGTGGGTTGTATCCCGCGGTAATCCGCAAGGCCCAACTGAGGTTGGGCCTAAAGATCTCTCCGCGCCAGTGGAGGGGCCCCAGTTAGAGGGACGTGAAACCGTCGGAGAAAACAAGGTTGATGCAAAAAACGAAGATAGATTTAAGGACAAAGATAAGAAAAGAAAAGAGTTAAAGCATCGAGAATGGGGGGACCGAGATAAGGATAGAAATGACCGTCGAGGATCCGTGCTTATTGGTAGTGTCATGAGTGAACCCAAAGAGATTGGAAGAGAAGAAAGAGAATCCGATAGGTGGGAACGGGAGAGGATGGAGCAGAAAGATCGAGAAAGGAATAAAGAGAAAGATAAAGATCATATCAAAAGAGAGCCAAGGACTGGTGCTGAGAAAGAGATCTCGCAGAATGAGAAAGAGTTGGGAGAAGCATCTGCCAAACCATCAGAGCAGGAATATGTGGCACCAGAGCAGAAGAAGCAGAACGAACCGGATAATTGGGAAAAAGACGAAAGAGAATCAAAGGAAAAAAGGAGAGAGAGGGATGGTGGGTGATTCAGAGGCAGAAAGAGCTGAAAAGCGCAGCAGAATCAGTGAAAAAGAATCTGAAGATGGGTGTTTGGAGGGTGAAGGAGCTACTGAGAGGGAAAAGGATGCCTTCAATTATGGAGTTCAGCAGCGGAAGAGAGCGCTGAGACCGAGAGGCAGCCCACAAACCACAAACCGCGACCATGTCCTCTCACGGAGTCAGGACAACGATGGGTGCGTCTCTCTGTCTTCCTCGTTTAATCATAATTATAAGTTTCTCATTGCTTAGAAGAATCCTTTATCTTTACCATTTAGAGACGCATACCCCCTTGATTAAATTTGGAGCCTTTATAGTAAAATCTGCGGGTGATACGATACTATATGATGAAGGGGGCAATTATTGTTGAATATCTTATTACCATTATTGTTTTTCCTCTTAATAGATAAAAAGCCTTTAAAGACAATTGTGCAATCATATTTGTATTTTGTAGTGTTTTATCTCTTAAAACCAAATTTGATTTTTCTCTGGATTCCTCGCCGCTCATTTTCTATCTGTGTTAATAATATTATGTCTTCTACCACACAAGTTGGGTATTAGCTAAGCTCAAGACTTTCTATTTAATTACTAGTCTGGCTTTTAATGTATCATCCGTGTTTGATTGTGTTTATTTTGCAGAGTACAAGGTAATCATTCATTTCTATATTCTCAAGAAAGGATGGAGTTGCACTGCTTGGAGAACAATAGTAAAAAAAAACGGTTAAATTTTCTTTTACATATCACTGAAATGGTCATCTACGAACACACATGTACTTGATAACCAATTACCAATCTATTTCGAAGTTTTCTTCTTAGGGTCGTCCTTAGGTTACTGTTCTTTACTCTCACAGTAGAATGTCAAATATATAAAGAACCTCAAGATCTAAAAAGATGGACCTAAAAGTCGGTTTGATCCTTAATGCTACTTGAGATTTTGGCTGCTAAAAGTTACTTATATCCCTGGCTTTATTTTGAACTTTTATCATCTCTCTGTTGCTTTTATTTTCTACAAATTTTAATCTGTTTGCACTTAATAATTTGGTCTTGTTGAATTTTATTGTACTTATGATTCAGGCAAGTCAGAGGTGTCGATTGTTGTTTACAAAGTTGGCGAATGTATGCAAGAACTGATTAAATTGTGGAAAGAATATGATTTGTCTCATCCTGATAAAAGCGGTGATTTTGCAAATAATGGCCCCACTCTTGAAGTTAGGATTCCAGCTGAGCATGTTACTGCTACAAATCGCCAAGTAAGACGAATATATTACCCAAATTTTTCTCATAATCATTTTCATTGTTTTTCTTCAGATAACTTGAGTGTTGTAGACTTGTAGTTTCTCATACAGTTTTAGTTCCAGTCTTTTTATCTGTTTAATTCACTTCGCCTATTAATTTGGGAAACACGGCTCTTTAGAGCATCCCTTGTTTGTTGCTTGCTGAGACCTTTGGCTCGTGTGCAGGTAAGAGGTGGCCAGCTATGGGGAACAGATATATACACAGACGATTCCGATCTTGTTGCTGGTACATGTCCTAATGAGTCTTATGCAATTAATATCTTTGTATGGTCCGAACATGGCACTGATTCTGGTCTACCTGCCACCCAGTTCTCATGCATACAGGTTACTGTCGTCCCACAGCTTCTCCTCCTCCACCTACAATGCAAGAGCTGCGCACTACTATTAGAGTCTTGCCGTCACAAGATTGTAAGTTAGCTTACCTCTATCTTACTTTTAATTCCTTTAACTGACTGTTCCACGGGAACTTCATACTATGTTGAGTTCCTCTCTGTCTTATATCAAGAAAGAACCTTTATCAAACTTCCAACTTAACTGATATATTTGTTAGACTACACCTCCAAGCTAAGGAACAATGTCCGTTCTCGAGCATGGGGAGCTGGAATCGGATGCAGTTACAGAGTTGAGCGGTGCTATATACTGAAGGTGATTTGACATGTGCCATTATCTGTCCTTCTAATTTACTTGATTATCTTCTCCCACTATGTGCATAATATCTAGTTGAAAGTGAATTTGTGTTAAAATCCTTATGGAAATTCTGATGATATGATTCCAGAAAGGAGGTGGGACTATTGAACTGGAACCTTCTCTTACACACTCCTCAACTGTGGAGCCAACACTTGCACCAATGGCTGTTGAAAGATCTATGACCACCAGGGCTGCAGCTTCAGAGGAAAAAAGGAGAGAGAGGGATGGTGATTCAGAGGCAGAAAGAGCTGAAAAGCGTAGCAGAATCAGTGAAAAAGAATCTGAAGATGGGTGTTTGGAGGGTGAAGGAGCTACAGAGAGGGAAAAGGATGCCTTCAACTATGGAGTTCAGCAGCGGAAGAGAGCGCTGAGACCGAGAGGCAGCCCACAAACCACGAACCGCGAACATGTCCACTCACGGAGTCAGGACAACGAAGGGTACGTCTCTGTCTTCCTCGTTTAATCATAATTCTAAGTTTCTCATTGCTTAGAAGAATCCTTTATCTTTACCATTTAGAGAGGCATACCCCCTTGATTAGATTTGGAGCCTATATAGTAAAATCTGCGGGTGATACGATACTATATGATGAAGGGGCAATTATTGTTGAATATCTTATTACCATTATTGTTTTTCCTCTTAATAGATAAAAAGCCTTTAAAGAAAATTGTTGTGTTCTGTAGTGCCTTATCTCTTGAAATGTCTATGCAGGTAAGAGGTGGCCAGCTATGGGGAACCGATATATACACAGACGATTCCGATCTTGTTGCTGGTACGTGTCCTAATGAATCTTTGCAATTAATATACGTGTTTGGTCCGAACATGACACTGATTCTGCACTACCTGTCATGTAGTTCTCATGCATACAGGTTACTGTCGTCCCACAGCTTCTCCTCCTCCACCGACAATGCAAGAGTTGCGCACTACTATTAGAGTCTTACCGTCACAAGATTGTAAGTTAGCTTACCTCTATCTTGCTTTTAATTCCTTTAGCTGACCTTTCCATGGGAACTTCATACTATGTTGATTTCCTCTCTGTCTTATATCAAGAAAGAACCTTTATCAAACTTCCAACTTAACTGATATATTTGTTAGACTACACCTCCAAGCTAAGGAACAATGTCCGTTCTCGAGCATGGGGAGCTGGAATCGGATGCAGTTACAGAGTTGAGCGGTGCTATATACTGAAGGTGATTTGACAGTGTCATTATCTGTCCTTTAAATTTCCTTGACTATCTTCTCCCACTATGTGCTTAATATCCAGTTTAAAGTGAATTTGTGTTAAAATCCTTATGGAATTTCTGATGATATGATTCCAGAAAGGAGGTGGAACTATTGAACTGGAGCCTTCTCTTACACACTCCTCAACTGTGGAGCCAACACTCGCACCAATGGCTATGACCACTAGAGCTGCAGCTTCGGTATTTTCCTTCCAGTTTGGAAATATCTGCCCTCTTAGTGTTCACATTCTTCACTTCATTTGGAATTTAAAATTTGCAGACAGATTGCAGTATTGTTGACTGCAAGCATTTTGTGCAATCTTCTTACAACTCTAGGATTATATACATATAGCATAGTTTTCTCATATTTCATATCTTTCGAGCACTGACGACTTGTTTGCTGTTCTGTAGAATGCTCTGCGGCAACAAAGGTTTGTACGAGAAGTCACAATACAATACAATCTCTGCAATGAACCTTGGTAACTCTCTGATAATAATTTCCCAATACTTCATAGAATTATTCACAGAATTTCCTAAGTTTATCAGGAATCTTTGTCACCTAAAAGTTATCAGACGCAAGGTCAGTTTTACTTACGCATCGATCTACTTGTCTGCAGGATCAAATATAGCATAAGCATTGTTGCTGATAAAGGTCTCAAGAAGCCACTTTTCACCTCTGCCCGCTTGAAGAAAGGAGAAGTTTTGTACTTAGAAACTCATTCATGCAGGTATCCACTAATCACATGTTTCTTTTATCGACATTATTGTCATAAGTGGCTGAATCTTATATGTGTATGCAAAAAGGTATGAGCTCTGTTTCGCTGGAGAGAAAACCATCAAAGCAATCCAAGCCTCACAACAACAATCATCGCATGAAGCTATGGAGACGGATAATAATAATAACAAGTCACAGAACCATCTGACAAACGGTGACAAAACAGATTCAGACAACAGTTTAATCGATGTTTTCCGTTGGTCACGCTGTAAGAAACCTCTCCCGCAGAAGCTTATGCGGTCTATTGGGGTTCCACTCCCTGCAGATCATATCGAGGTTAACATTTTTTTTTTTCCGATTTGACTCTTGTTTGGTAAATTTCTTGATAAAACAATTGATGATGATGATGTGTTATGGATATTGGAATGGAGTAGGTGTTGGAGGAGAATCTTGATTGGGAAGATGTACAGTGGTCACAAACTGGTGTTTGGATTGCTGGAAAAGAGTACACACTTGCTCGTGTTCATTTTCTCTCGCCCAACTAAAAAAAACCTTTCATGCTTTGCTTTTTTCTCACAAAACTTTTTATATTTTATTTATGATTAGAGACTACAGTTACTTTGGCATGTTCATAAGACTATCTCTAATATTGTAAAGCTGGAGAGGCCAGAGAAGAAAAAAAAAAAAGAGCCAACAATACTATTTACCAAAAACTCATTTGTTAAACAAAAATCCTTTTTTCTTCCCCTTCTTTCTCTGCAGAGCCTGCAACCAAATCAGCAAACCAAACAATCAACCACTGCTTCTCTCACAAAGCTAATATTTGTATGATTATGTTGAAATTGTGATGCTTTGCTAGAAAGGAAACGAATCAACCATGTTATCGCACAAGATAAAATGGCTATCAGTCTGCAGCATTACCTTCTTAAGAAATAATCTAAGGGTGAGCACAATTGTGTCTCTTGAGCTGCCAAATACAAACACAAAACAGAAGATTGACTGCTTAATACAAGAAACCGAAAACTTCAATGAATACTTACTTGGAACACATTAAACAACTTCATTTAGATAGAAAACACGAGCATATTATTCAATGTATTCAGATTTAAGTTTAGACTATTGATGATTCAAGTTTCACTTTCATCCATTTTCATCGAAAAATTCCTGATTTAAACGACGTAGGCGTTTTGACCTACTTTACTTCATCCAAAGAAAGCCAACTTAGACTTACCAGCTAAGATCTGTTGCATCATTGCCCACTCGACAGAGATGCTCCACGCCATCGCTACCAATAATCACAAAATCCGCAGGCTGATCAAAGGGAATCACAATCTAGGAGCAGAATCAGAAAGATCACAATATTAGTTCATTCTTAGGTATGTATGTTAACATATAATTCAGCCAATATTACATTTCTAACAAAAAGGGGCAAATAAGGCAAGACTCTTACATTAGTAGAAGAGGAGAACTTTTCTGTAATTACAGGGTCATTAGTAGGTTTGATGCTGTAGCCTTCTTTCTTAATAGACAAGGTAGCTGCTTCCCATATATCCATATAACCAATCTGTTTCAAAAGAGAGAACACATAGTAAAAAAGCAATACGCGTACAAGTGAGAGAGTAACAGAGAGGAGGTATATGCAGGGAAACCAAAGAACAAAATTGTAAAAGATGAAATAAGAGAACTGGCATACCGAATAGGAGACTTTGAATAAAGCATGACCGTTATAAAGACTCTTCTCTATATGACTCTGCATCTCCGGATCTGTGAAAATAGAAGAGGAAACCATTCACCAGATAACTCACAGAATAAGCGGCAATCCCTGCAGTATCTAAGAATACTAACTGCAAAGTAAGCTTTACAAGAAATTTTCTTATTATTTACCAGAAACGCTCAGATCTAAAGGAGCTAGAATTGAATAATCAGATCTAAAGGAGCCGACTGTTTCGGGAGTATACCACCAGTGGCAGTGAGCTGCTGCGAGAGGACAGGGCAGTGAGTGATGAAGCAGTCTTACCATGCGTCCTCTCCATGTTACCCAAGTGTGTGCTCAACAAGGAAGACCCAATTCTCGTGGGAGTTTATGTTGTTGAGGGTTCTGTCAGGGTATGCTTGCTTTTCTTCGCTTTATTCTTCTAGCTAGAATCTCGGTGTTTTTTTTTTTAACTTTTTGCTTCAGGTAGGGACTCCATTATGCATTCCACACAAAGCTTTCATCAATATAGGACGGGTTGCATGGATTGACAAGGACCAGCAACCTGTCAAGGTTGCAAGCCAAGGCGACAAGGTGATTATCAAGGTATGTTTAGAAGATTTTATCATCCCACATCATCTTCAAGCATGGGTAATTAATTGATTTACTTTGTCATGTAGATTGTTGCAGCAGACCCCAAAACAAAACAGTTGATGTTGGGAAGAGATTTTGACGTTGGAGATGTTCTTGTCAGTCGCATCCCTAGAAGATCTATCTACCATGTGGCCCATTCCATCATTCCAAGCTAATGACTGGGTCGAACAAAAATCTCATCCTCTGGTTATGTCATTTTCTCGGTGCTTTAGTTAGTTATTTCTTGTTAACGCTTAACATTATCTCATCCTGGAAATATTTACATTCTCCCCCTCTATTTTGTTCTCTTCTTTCTCCGGTTAGAAAAGAAGTTGATGATATATATGAACAACAAGTCTTTGAAACAGAGGCCAAAAGCATGGAAACAGAGATAAACGAACAACATTAGATGTTTAATATTTTTGTTGCTCATAACTGACCTAGTAATTTATAACATCAGATAGATAGACTTGCACAAAGCAGGTAACTTGACCCCATGGATTATTCGATACTGAAAACGCACTTGAGATTACACAAGACGAGCACGTCCCTCCTGGATACCAGGGCCTGCAGAAATTAAATTAATTTCAGTTAGCAATTGGGATACAAGGATTAAAAAGAGTTATTTTGTTAGCAAGGTGGGAGATCTAGCTAGACCTACCCTGTAACGAGATTTGAGCACATTAATAGATCTCCTAGAAACGTGACTGACAAGGATATCATCACTAATGTCAAAATGGCTTCCAAAGCTAAGTCCTCGTTCTTCCGGGTTTGATGCAACAATCTGTGTAATAGCAAACGAAAGCCAATTATATATATACTAAGATAAAGCTAGCTATAGTATTATTTGTTTTGAGATAATCTCAAACCTACCTTGATCATCACCGTGTCGCCTAACCTAGCAACGTCGACGGATCGGTGGTCTGGAATTTTCTGATGTTCTTCGAGAGTTGGAGTTGAGGCGTTCTTTCAGTCTAATGAGAGAAATGAGCCTAAAAGAAATTTGTTGGAGAACGTTTAAAATGGGCCTACAAGAAATTTGTTGGGCCCATTGGCCTTAAAAAAGAAAAGAGATTTCATTAATTAGGTTTTCCCCGACGATGTTTGATCCGCTTATATATTGTTCGAAAAAGTTCTTATTCTTCTCTCATTCCATCTTTTTTTTTTATCTTTGATCTTTTTGCTTCGCTTTAGCTAAATCAATGGATCGAGCTCTGTCGTGGTTCCGACGTTTAGCAGTTGGGTATGAGATGCGAGAAGGAGCAGATTGGAACGGAGAGCTAAGAAAGAAGGTAATTATTTTGGTTCAATCTGGTTTCTCCGATCCGTATCTGTATCTCTACGAATGTAGAATTTGTACGATTGATCAGATGTGAGCGAGCATCCTATCCTATATATTATTATTTGGGGTAATACTGTCCCGTTTTAGATATATAGTTTTCGACTTGGAATGGCTTCTCTTTAGAAATGATTGCAGTTTGAATCTTCATGTTAAAATTTATATAGTTTACGGAATTTACTGTCCCGTTTTAGATATATAGTTTTCGACTTCCAACATAAGGGAAAAAACCCTCTCTTAAAGGTTTTTGTTTCTGTCTATATGTGGCATGTGGTTTAAGCAACGGGAGTTGGAAAAGCTGCAAGATGCAATGACATCTGTGATAGCAAGTTTGAACAAGCATGGGGAGGGAGTTTATGTTATAGCCTCTACTTTCATGTCCTTGAAAGGGTTGGTCGAGTGCTTGACATCCCCGGAGGTGGCTATTCCTGTCAGTGCTCTTGGCGTTGGACCTGTAACCCCTGGGGATATCTTCAAGGCCCGTAAACTACAGTTTGCCACTGTCCTCGCTTTTCAAGTCGAGTTGACTCTAAAGGCCAGTCAAGTAGCACAAGCATTGGGAGTCAAAGTAATCTGTGGTGACTCCATTGAACAACTCTGCCGACTGTTTCGGGAGTATACCACCAGTGGCAGTGAGCTGCTGCGAGAGGACAGGGCAGTGAGTGATGAAGTAGTCTTACCATGCGTCCTCTCCATGTTACCCAAGTGTGTGCTCAACAAGGAAGACCCAATTCTCGTTGGAGTTTATGTTGTTGAGGGTTCTCTTAGGGTATGCTTGCTTTTCTTCGCTTTATTCTTCTAGCTAGAATTTTGTTTTTTTTACTTTTGCTTTTGCTTCAGGTAGGGACTCCATTATGCATTCCTCACAAAGCTTTCATCAATATAGGACGGGTTGCATGGATTGACAAGGACCAGCAACCTGTCAAGGTTGCAAGCCAAGGCGACAAGGTCATTATCAAGGTGTGTTGATAAGATTTTATCATCCCACATCTTCTTCAAGCATGGGTAATTATTTGATTTACTTGGTTCCTTGTCATGTAGATTGTTGCAGCAGACCCCAAAACAAAACAGTTGATGTTGGGAAGAGATTTTGACGTTGCAGATGTTCTTGTCAGTCGCATCCCTAGAAGATCTATCTACCATTTTGCCCATTCCATCATTCCAAGCTAATGACTGGGTCGAACAAAAATCTCATCCTCTGGTTATGTCATTTTCTCGGTGCTTTAGTTAGTTATTTCTTGTTAACGCTTAACATTATCTCATCCTGGAAATATTTACATTCGTTGATGATATATATGAACAACAAGTCTTTGAAACAGAGGCCAAAAGCATGGAAATAGAGATAAACGAACAACATCAGATGTTTAATATTTTTGTTGAAACTGAGCTCATAACCTAGTAATTTATAACATCAGATAGATCTTGCATAAAGCAGGTAACTTGACCCCATAGATTATTCGATACTGAAAACGCACTTGAGGTAACACAAGACGACCGCGTCCCTCCTGGATACTAGAGTAATATGGTTTGGTTTCACGGATTTGTATTTCTCCATACACAAAAACATGGTTAAAGCTTCAGAGTAATTCCCGTTCTGAGAAAACCCAGAAATGACGGTGGTCCACGAGGTTACGTTCTTACGAGGAACTGAATCGAACAACTCCATCGCCGCCTTCATATCACCTCGTTTTTGGTAACCCGTGATCATTGCATTCCACACGGGTACATCTCAGCTAGACATTTCGTCGAACCCTCTGCGCGCACAACACGATGCTCCTAGCTTCGCATAGGCAGTGATTAGAGCAGTGCAGCAGAACGAATCGGACCCAAACCCGGATCAAAAAACTGAGAATGAAGCAACCGTAAAGGTCTAGCCGACGCAAACGAAGCAGAAGCTGCGAAAATGAAATTGAAAGTGTGGTGTTTTGGGCGGAACGCAAAATAAAAGATTGACTGCTTAATGCAAGAAAACGAAACCTTTTTGAATACATGGAACCACATTTAGAAAGAAAACAGAAGCAAAATAAATATTCAATGTATTCAGATTCAAGTTTAGACTAATTCTGGCCATGGTCAACCAATCCATGTGATTCTACCTTGAACAGTAACACCCTGACGTCTTCTCTCAAGCAGATTCTTCACAGATTGCCAAATTGAAGTAGTGGCTTCAGTTTCATCCTTCAAGTCTTTAATGTGCGAGATTAAATCATCACGCTCCACAAGACTAGGATCATTAACAAGACACTTAAACACCATTGGCAGTTCTTCCTTGAATGACACCGAGCATCTTTTCTTGAAATAATTCTCTATAGCTTGAAGAAGAAAACCTTCGGACATCGGTTCCATGACGGCAAGTAAATAGCTCTTCTTCTCCTGAAGAACCTTTGCAAAGCCTTTCTCCACCCCACTAAAAATAGCCTCCAACAAAGCTTCATATTTGTCTCCCACAAACCCAAAACGCGAATCGAGTAGATTCTTCATCTCACTCACAGAAATGTTTGCCTTCAAATTATCCTTTATGGCCATGATCTTCTCCTCAGCAATGTTTGAATGAATCCATGACCTAACTTGAGCTTCAATATCACGCACTACCTGCCATATGTATCACATATATAATATGTTGCAACACCCAAAATCCAAATAGGACTTAGAAACCGAAACAAACCTCTGTTCTGGCAATTTCTTGGATGCCCACGCAAATAGATTCAAGGTTTTCACTGATGATAGAGTCCACAATTCTGCACCGAGTTTCATATGGAATGCATGGCTGCTGAAATGAACCATGGAGAAAGCTAAACATCCATCCACGTAAAGGTTCCTTAGAAGAGACAGACATAATTTAGGTCGGTTAATCCAAAGACAACATATTTTACCATAAACTTAGTACATGGTTAAATTAAGGCTAGACATACATTGCAAAAATCATTCGCATATCTTTGAGCTAAAGAAGTGGCCATCATATGTGCTGCATTATTTCTCCGGAGGTCATCCGTTCCTAAGGGATAAGCCTAAAAAAAAATGGAGGAAAAGAAAACCCATGTGAGTTACCAGATGCACAATAGACTAGATAGTAGTAGAATCCAAAACATCAAGTGAGATAGACTAACCATCAAAACATGAGCTTTGGTTTTCTGGAGTGCATGACTTACGGACATCTTGAGAAACTCAGGAACAACGGTCTCAATTGCTTGCGACACAGCAAATTCCAACTTACTGTGACATAAACGCAGGGGCTATAAGCTAAATCTATTAACTATTGTGTAGAGCTAATGCGACAGCATCAAACCTTAAAGGCAATCGTGGATGTAATCTCGGGTTGATGAAAACAATCTGCTTAATTTTCTCAATGGCAGCAGTTGATTCCTGGCCACCAAAGTAGACAATAAAAGTGTAATGTGAGTTCAAAATAGCAACGAGTTCAACATTGCTAAATTAACTTCAGCAACGTAAGGCAATCTTGTAAACCCCCAATTTGAGATATAAGGAAGAAACACAAATTGTTGGAGTATCGGAATCTAGCTACGAGACGAAATTTGTAATCTAAGAAGTTCAATGGAGTGGGAAAGGGAATGGAGCGAAGGAGATTACCATTTTTACAGACGGATGAGACGAAGCGGAGACGGTAGGGTTTAGGGATTTTCTTCTTCGCTGAGAGCTGCAGGCGACAAATGTAAAATTAGGGTTTTGATGTATATATTATAGATAGGCCCCTGCGCCCTGATCGTTTTAAAATTAAAAACGAAAAAATTGTGAAAACATTTGACATCTGCGGGATTTGAAACCTCGCCCTTTTAGACCGGAGCCCAAAGTCAAGCCCCCTCGCCCAGACCGGAGTTTAATTTAAATTAATTACTGATCGGACCCGCGGTCCACCGCGGAAGAATATTGGTTTACATACGTTGATTTTAATAGTGCGTGTTTTAAGTTGAGCGAATCGGGTAGTGTACTTATAAATATTCATAATAACGAATTGTAGAGAAAATGTTAAATTGTTTATAATTAAACCGATCATATTAATTATGATTAAAAATAGAATTTTATGTTTTAGAATTCTAAAATTAGATGATTCATAGGAATTAGAGCAGTAAAAATAAGTCAAAAACCGTGGGTCGAGCCCAAATAATCTCACTATGGGGCATATTTGTGAAAATATATTAAACCCGTAAATAAACGGGCCACACGGATTGATTCGTAGTGGATCATAGGTTTTAATCGGTTTTCGTCCGCGGGTTGGCGGATCAGCCCGCATGTTAGTATTTATTGATAAAAGTATAATTTATTCAACATTTGGTAATTTAAAAACTTTTAATAAATGAAATTATAATATTTATAAATATACTGAGATATAAAATTATTTCCTCTAATTTTTTTTTTTATTTATCTCTATACTATTAAAAGAGAAGTACAAATATAAATGGGTCGGATCAAAATCAGAAAATTGACCCGAAATTCGAAATCGGATCTTTGAAAATTTTGGAATATAAATTCGAATTAATAATGAAAAATCGAACTAAAATCAAATGTTTATGGAAATCAAATAAAATTTGATTGTACTTATGGTAACTAATTATAAAATCATATTCCGAACAATATTATACATTAGTTACGTATAATATATTTGTTCATATACTTTTGGAACTAATTCCATAATAATCAACGTTTTTCTCATTAATTTTGCTTATTTTAGCCAGTTATCATTAATTAAAAGATATCTTACTTGCTTCTAGAGATTTCTAGTAAATTTATCACAACTAACCCATCTATTTTATAAATTAAATAGATTTTTTTTATTTTGGTCATGTAAATTAAATAGATATGAAATCTATGTAACTAATTTTAATTTAATTAGATTAAATCGAAATTATGGTATTTTCATACTTATAGCTTACCAAAGAAGTTTAATTTTCAAATTATAAAGATGTCTTGAATATGATTTTTAGAATTATTCAACAAGATGATAAATATTTATTAAATTTTTTGAATCATGAAAAATATTAATTATTTTTAATCATTATATTTCACCTTTCAATCTCTCATCTAACAAATAAGATACATATTCTATTATTCCTATGTCCAAACTCCATTGTGTTGTATGACTAAATAATATTTCCATTAGAGCTGTCAAAACGAGTTGATTCATCCCGTTAAACCTGTTTTGCAATAGGCAAAATATATTTTGGCATGTAGTTAGTCTGTCCGCACGACCCGCGGGTAGCATATATGAAACACAAACCCGTCGCGCGAATGTATGCTGATTTGCGGGGTTATCCGTGGATTTTGTTTAAATAATTTTAGAGTAACCAAAATTTTAAATTCTACTAAAATAAATAAATTAGAAAAAATTTAGAGATAATAATCTTTTATATCATTATATTTATAAATATTATAATTTCATTTATTAAAAGTTTTTTAAACTACCACATGTTGAATAAATTATATTTTTATCAATAAATACTATCATGCGGGTTGATCCGCCAACCCGCAGATGAAAACCGATGACCCACTGCGAATCAATCCATGTGGCCCGCTTATTTGCGGGTTTAATATATTTTCCCAAATCTGCCCAATAGTGAGATGATTTGGACTCGACCCGTGGTTTTTGACCTATTTTGACTGCTTTAATTCCCATGATTCATCTAATTTTTGAATTCTACAAAATTCCATTTTGTAAATCATAATTAATATGATTGGTTTAATTATAAACAATTTAATATTTTCTTTACAATTTGTTATTAGGAATATTTATAAGTACACTAAACGATTCGTTCTACTAAAAACACGCACAATATTAAAATCAACGTATGTAAATCAATATTCTCCCGCGGTGGACCGCGGGTCCGATCCTAGTTTTAGTAGTATTTTAAATTTTCATTAGTTTAAAATTATTTAAACAAAATCCACGGACAACCCCGCAAATCAGCATACATTCGCGGGACGGATTTGTGTTTCATATATGCTATATGCGGGTCGTGTGGACCAACTAACCATATGTCAAAATATATTTTGCCTATCACAAAACGGGCTTAACGGGACGAATCAACTCGCTTTGACAGCTCTAGTGGAAATATTATTTAGTCATACAACAAAATAGAGTTTGGACATAGGAATAATAGAATCTATATCCTATTTCTTAGATGAGAGATTGAAACTTTGAAAAGTGAAATATAACGATTAAAAATTAATTATTATTTTTCATGATTCGCAAAATTTAATAAATATTTATCATCTTGTTGAATAATTCTAAAAATCATATTCAAGAAATCTTTATAATTTTAAAATTAAACTTCTTTGGTAAGCTATCAGTATGAAAATACCAGAATTTCGTTTAATTTAATTAAATTAAAATTAGTTACATGGATTTCATATCTATTTAATTTACACGACCAAAATAAAAATATCTATTTAATTTATAAAATAGATGGGTTAGTTGTGATAAATTTTCTAGAAATCTTTTGAAGCAAGTAAGATATCTTTCAATTAATGCTAATTGGCTAAAATAAACAAAATTAATGACAAAACGTTGATTGTTATGGAATTAGCATAAATACAATCATATTTTATTTGATTTCAATATTTTAGTTCGATTTTTCATTATTAAATATTAATTAGAAATCATATTCCAAAAAAAATTCAAAGATCCGATTTCAGAATTTTGGGTCAATTTTCTGATTTTGACCCGACCCATTTGCATTTGTACTTCTCTTTTAATAGTATAGAGATACAACTGGCAATAGGAAAGATTGAAGATAAAGTGATGACGAATGACGATGATTCCTTGCATTATTTGTGAATAAAATTTCGATCGTAAAGCTGTTGATATATACTCATTCATATCCCATGAGTGATAATCTTGTCCTAAAGGAGTCGTCTGAAAAAAGTAGTTGTAAATTTTGTTGAAATTCAAGTTCTTATCTCTGCAATAGCATGAAATCCAACATGGAGAAGCTCTCATGTCAACACAACTGCTTGGAAGTGAAAACATCCCTCCACTGTTGTCTCATTTGGCGACAACCGATTAGTGTTTTTTTAAACCAGTGTGTGAGGAAGAATGATGACAAGCAGCTTATGCCTGATTTAAGTGTTTTTGAACCGGTAGTAAACATTATGACAAGCAGTCTATGCCAGAGTTGATGATGGCCATCTTCAGCGGAGATCGCCAAGAAACATTAGGAATGGAAGATGGGATGTCAGGTATCTCGGTTGCCTCTGTGCTCATTGATGGCTTTAACACTCTTAATCCGTTGCTGCGCTCGTAACCTCCTGACTTCTTCAATAAGGAGAAAGGTCTTATCGCGTCTCTTGGATTTCCTGGAGCTGCACCTGCACAAAAATCTTGAACTGTCTCTGATCCCTCAATGATACAGATACTGAAACGTCCACCAAACGAATAATCATTGACGGTTTAGAATCAAAATGAGAAATCGTTTAATAAAAATAAAATTGAGAATCGTTATACGCCTAATAAACTATTATTACTCGATATATTTCATCAAAATATTAAAACAAACCCACTTGTAACGTAGATAATGATATCATTAATCGTTATATTTTATCAAAATATATAGAACAAACACACGCGTACTGTGGGTTTAAAATCTAGTATCTCTAAAAGTTTGCAAAAAAGCATAATTGATACTCTAGGAATACGTCAAACAAGTAGTGTTCTGAGTATTCATGACAACAATATAATATCGATTGCACACTTACTTCCATACTCAAATCATGTCAACGAAATTTGGCTCTTCAGCCACGAAATCAAAATCTGACTCTTCGGCCCAGATATCATAATCTGGCTCTTCAGGTACAAGATGTCTGACAGACTCAAACAGTCGAGCATTATTTCCATCCCTTTTGCTACCTTCTTCATACCATTCCAGAATCGCCTTCTCGCTTAAATACCCTGTTGTAATGAAACCATCAAGCAACAAATCTTCCAGCCCCCTCGGTTGAGGGTGTGTTTTCAGGAATTTCTCCAACGCATGCAGCAGATCAAGCATTCCTCCATTTCTTCCTTTCACGAGAGGATCTAGGTACGCCATCTTCTTTGTATACATAAAAACACTTGGGGGATCTTTCTGGAAAATAAATTGGTTGCATATGACCGTGCATAATGCAGCCAGTTTATCTTTAGACTCTCTCCAAGATTTCAGCAAGTTGCTCATAGCATCAACATCAAAATCTTTCTCCAAGGCATTGCCTATTTCCTTCACAAAAATTTGGTTTTCAGTTGGTGTCCATATGACAGGCTGCCTCCTAGAGTACCCATGTGCCTGCACATACAATGAGAAATGTTAGTAAGTCTAATGAAACCCCATTCGCTACTTAGAAATCTACACAAACCTCCGTCTTAGCACAGGCTCCAAGTTTCTTATGAATGCCTTCAAGGTTGTCATCAATCACACTTTCAACTATTGCAGGTTGAAGAGCATGTGGAACACCTTGTTGCTGAAGTAAATCCCGAACAAGATATGACATCCAGCCGCCAAGAAATTTCTTAGAAAACACCATGTTAAAAGCATAAAGAATTAGCTGTCCATTGATCTAAAGAAAAAGAGCAAACGCAACATAGAAAATGAGGAACAAACAACTTCACAAGAATCAAAACCTTGCTCATTTGTCGGATATACTTTTCAGCCAAACGCACAGACACCGGGACACTTCCGGCGTTCCCACCCATCAAAAAGGATATCCTAGTGACACTTCCATCCATTCTACGATGTTGATCAGCCTTTTAGAAGAAAAAAAGGAAAATACATTGTGACATAAGAAAAATAACTTGTATTTATGCATTCACAGAAATACACGGAGAAAAAGAGAAGTGAGAACCCTTACAATTATAGCACCTGCCTCTGCGGCCTCGCATCCAACAGTTGCAGCAAGTTTGATAAGCAGAGGTCCAGCTTTTTCCACAACCTCCAACACAGCATCTTCCATTTTCCTGTGAGATTGGAAATTAGAAAAACTAGAGAACAAAGAACCATAAAGTGCTTAAATTTGCCGCATTAAAAGTAACAGAGCCAAACCTAACAAGCCCTGGGTAAATTCCAAAAAAAGAATCTGGTTTCTTGATAGTAACAAGGAACTCCTCAGTAGAGAATTGTATTCTGGAAGCAATGAGGTGCTGTCCTCATATAACAGCCATTAAAGAAGTTAGATGAATCACTTTTGATTGAAGAACACAATGAAAAATAGAACTAGCTAGATAAGGTTGAGTCAGATAAACGAACACTGTCACGAGGTGCTCTGTCATCATATTTCCCGAATTTAAGCGGTTTTACAATGATTTTACGTTCTTCAAAATCAACATTGAGATTCATTTGTCTGTGCTTCTCTTGAAGTGTGGAAGCTGGCTTTAGTGGTTCCAGAACATTAAACTTCTCCAACAGGCCCTAGAGCAAGATAACACCATTAATAGCTAATCACACACAAGTAAGCCAAGTCATTTACTGTACTTGAGAATCGTACCTCAATGCTAAAGAGAAGACCATCTTGCAAGTTTGGCATCATGTAAATCTCAGACAACAGGCTGAGAATCGTCTCAAAAGATGGACACAAAGGACTTCTTCTGCAAGACTCCAAAACCTACAGCAAATACACAATTTGGAATCAGGCATTTTATTAACACAAGGAGAAATGGTATGTAGCACTAACCTCGATTACAAATGGGATGCTCTTAGACATTAAACCCCGCTCGTAGGCCTAAAAGAATAGAGTTAATTGTGCTTAGTAACTAAAAAATGTCAAACAACACCTTGAAAGGAAAGATATAACGAACTGATGTTACCGTAACTATGAAGGGCTCCAAAGCTAGATCAGTCTTCAACAAAGACCAACAGTCAGTGCGGACGATCAACTTACCAAGCCACTTGCCTAGGTTTTTTGTAACATGTGATAAAACTTGTTGGTTGACCATAGGATGCAACTGAATCTCAGGTTCCAAGATAGCCTGAAGAAACGAAGGAATGTAATAAAACACTAGTCAAAACAGAAATTACAACCAAATACAAACTACAAAGAAGAATAGGTACTAACCTTACAAATCAGACAAGTAGTTTTTACAGTCTCGGTGTACAATGAAGGAGAATTAACTTTCTCAAGGAAATCAAAGTAACTATCATGAAAAATGGGCTCAAAAATAGCACTCTGAGAACTGGAAAAAAAAAAAAGGAGTGATAAAGTATGAAAATTGATAACAAACAGAAAGAAGCCTATACATACTTTTTCACGAGCATGATTTGCACAAAAAAGAAGTCCTTAGGCTGATGGAAAGCTGAAAGTTCGGTGAACTCTTTAGATAACCGAGTCACATTTTGTATACCAGGGAGATACTGCACGCGTTGTATAATATTGCCTAGTTTACTTCGAAACTCTTCATCTGGTACCTGGAGGAAGAATGATAACATCTAAACTATGAAAGAAAGAAGATGACGATGAAAGAAAGAAAATGGTGAACAGGGGATGAAGAAAAACACTTGCCTGTATGGAATCCGAAGCCATACTTTTCTCTGATGCAGAAGAGAGGAGGTTTTTGATGAAATCCTGCAAAGGGAAAAATTAGGGATTAGGTTCAATGAATTGAAAATAGTAGGGTTTGGAGTTCAAAATAGCAACGAGTTCAACATTGCTAAATTAACTTCAGCAACGTAAGGCAATCTTGTAAACCCCCAATTTGAGATATAAGGAAGAAACACAAATTGTTGGAGTATCGGAATCTAGCTACGAGACGAAATTTGTAATCTAAGAAGTTCAATGGAGTGGGAAAGGGAATGGAGCGAAGGAGATTACCATTTTTACAGACGGATGAGACGAAGCGGAGACGGTAGGGTTTAGGGATTTTCTTCTTCGCTGAGAGCTGCAGGCGACAAATGTAAAATTAGGGTTTTGATGTATATATTATAGATAGGCCCCTGCGCCCTGATCGTTTTAAAATTAAAAACGAAAAAATTGTGAAAACATTTGACATCTGCGGGATTTGAAACCTCGCCCTTTTAGACCGGAGCCCAAAGTCAAGCCCCCTCGCCCAGACCGGAGTTTAATTTAAATTAATTACTGATCGGACCCGCGGTCCACCGCGGAAGAATATTGGTTTACATACGTTGATTTTAATAGTGCGTGTTTTAAGTTGAGCGAATCGGGTAGTGTACTTATAAATATTCATAATAACGAATTGTAGAGAAAATGTTAAATTGTTTATAATTAAACCGATCATATTAATTATGATTAAAAATAGAATTTTATGTTTTAGAATTCTAAAATTAGATGATTCATAGGAATTAGAGCAGTAAAAATAAGTCAAAAACCGTGGGTCGAGCCCAAATAATCTCACTATGGGGCATATTTGTGAAAATATATTAAACCCGTAAATAAACGGGCCACACGGATTGATTCGTAGTGGATCATAGGTTTTAATCGGTTTTCGTCCGCGGGTTGGCGGATCAGCCCGCATGTTAGTATTTATTGATAAAAGTATAATTTATTCAACATTTGGTAATTTAAAAACTTTTAATAAATGAAATTATAATATTTATAAATATACTGAGATATAAAATTATTTCCTCTAATTTTTTTTTTTTATTTATCTCTATACTATTAAAAGAGAAGTACAAATATAAATGGGTCGGATCAAAATCAGAAAATTGACCCGAAATTCGAAATCGGATCTTTGAAAATTTTGGAATATAAATTCGAATTAATAATGAAAAATCGAACTAAAATCAAATGTTTATGGAAATCAAATAAAATTTGATTGTACTTATGGTAACTAATTATAAAATCATATTCCGAACAATATTATACATTAGTTACGTATAATATATTTGTTCATATACTTTTGGAACTAATTCCATAATAATCAACGTTTTTCTCATTAATTTTGCTTATTTTAGCCAGTTATCATTAATTAAAAGATATCTTACTTGCTTCTAGAGATTTCTAGTAAATTTATCACAACTAACCCATCTATTTTATAAATTAAATAGATTTTTTTTTATTTTGGTCATGTAAATTAAATAGATATGAAATCTATGTAACTAATTTTAATTTAATTAGATTAAATCGAAATTATGGTATTTTCATACTTATAGCTTACCAAAGAAGTTTAATTTTCAAATTATAAAGATGTCTTGAATATGATTTTTAGAATTATTCAACAAGATGATAAATATTTATTAAATTTTTTGAATCATGAAAAATATTAATTATTTTTAATCATTATATTTCACCTTTCAATCTCTCATCTAACAAATAAGATACATATTCTATTATTCCTATGTCCAAACTCCATTGTGTTGTATGACTAAATAATATTTCCATTAGAGCTGTCAAAACGAGTTGATTCATCCCGTTAAACCTGTTTTGCAATAGGCAAAATATATTTTGGCATGTAGTTAGTCTGTCCGCACGACCCGCGGGTAGCATATATGAAACACAAACCCGTCGCGCGAATGTATGCTGATTTGCGGGGTTATCCGTGGATTTTGTTTAAATAATTTTAGAGTAACCAAAATTTTAAATTCTACTAAAATAAATAAATTAGAAAAAATTTAGAGATAATAATCTTTTATATCATTATATTTATAAATATTATAATTTCATTTATTAAAAGTTTTTTAAACTACCACATGTTGAATAAATTATATTTTTATCAATAAATACTATCATGCGGGTTGATCCGCCAACCCGCAGATGAAAACCGATGACCCACTGCGAATCAATCCATGTGGCCCGCTTATTTGCGGGTTTAATATATTTTCCCAAATCTGCCCAATAGTGAGATGATTTGGACTCGACCCGTGGTTTTTGACCTATTTTGACTGCTTTAATTCCCATGATTCATCTAATTTTTGAATTCTACAAAATTCCATTTTGTAAATCATAATTAATATGATTGGTTTAATTATAAACAATTTAATATCTATATATACATTTTTGGATGACTTTTAGCAAATAAATCCTGGAGTTGGAATGTATTTACGGATGAATGCCATTGACATTAATTATTTAAATTTGAAAAATATTAATTAAAGATATTACCAACACGATTTCGAGAATCATAAATTCATATATTCCTTAATTTTCTGAGTCATTAATGTGATAATCTTTAGGAAATATTTCTCTGTAAAAAAAAAAATCCACATTAATGAAGGCATTAAAATCGACACTAACAATTAAATTATTTAGATATTCAATTATTTTAAGATTCTTATATCTTATTTGATATTTTTTTTTAATATCTCATTCTTTAATTACTGCGTTTAGAATTTATTGGTTGTTACCTATTTTTTGGTGAAATTTATTGGTTGTCACTTAATAAGTAATTATGGTGCGTTTATTTTAGTTAATATCTAATTTAAAGGATTTGTTTTCTTTTATTATTAATAAACGAATAACATGTATAGAAATAAAAGATTTTTCTTGCGACTCCATAATAAAAATATTAAACTCTTATTTTCTACATTTCTTACACATAATATCCTCTTATTCAATAACAAAAATATATATTGCATATTTTTAAAAATATTTATAATATTTAAATTATATAAAAAGTTTGTAATATTAATATTATTTCAACTCTATACAAATTTAATATATATGTATATATATCTTATGGGAACCATTTAAAAGAAATTTTTAAATTGACTTGAATTATATAGCTTTTAAATAAAAGTATTATTAAAAAGAAAAATAACTAAATGATGTTTAATTTCACGGGACGGGTAATATGATGGAACGGGTTTGGGTTGATATTTATAAAAGATAGTATACCACGGGTGAAATCCTAAAATTAACAATCAAAATAATCTATCAAACAAATTACATTTTGATTTTTTTAAGAAAATATAGCCCCGCGGTGTACCGCGGGTTAAAATCTAGTTTTCTTTACAATTTGTTATTAGGAATATTTATAAGTACACTAAACGATTCGTTCTACTAAAAACACGCACAATATTAAAATCAACGTATGTAAATCAATATTCTCCCGCGGTGGACCGCGGGTCCGATCCTAGTTTTAGTAGTATTTTAAATTTTCATTAGTTTAAAATTATTTAAACAAAATCCACGGACAACCCCGCAAATCAGCATACATTCGCGGGACGGATTTGTGTTTCATATATGCTATATGCGGGTCGTGTGGACCAACTAACCATATGTCAAAATATATTTTGCCTATCACAAAACGGGCTTAACGGGACGAATCAACTCGCTTTGACAGCTCTAGTGGAAATATTATTTAGTCATACAACAAAATAGAGTTTGGACATAGGAATAATAGAATCTATATCCTATTTCTTAGATGAGAGATTGAAACTTTGAAAAGTGAAATATAACGATTAAAAATTAATTATTATTTTTCATGATTCGCAAAATTTAATAAATATTTATCATCTTGTTGAATAATTCTAAAAATCATATTCAAGAAATCTTTATAATTTTAAAATTAAACTTCTTTGGTAAGCTATCAGTATGAAAATACCAGAATTTCGTTTAATTTAATTAAATTAAAATTAGTTACATGGATTTCATATCTATTTAATTTACACGACCAAAATAAAAATATCTATTTAATTTATAAAATAGATGGGTTAGTTGTGATAAATTTTCTAGAAATCTTTTGAAGCAAGTAAGATATCTTTCAATTAATGCTAATTGGCTAAAATAAACAAAATTAATGACAAAACGTTGATTGTTATGGAATTAGCATAAATACAATCATATTTTATTTGATTTCAATATTTTAGTTCGATTTTTCATTATTAAATATTAATTAGAAATCATATTCCAAAAAAAATTCAAAGATCCGATTTCAGAATTTTGGGTCAATTTTCTGATTTTGACCCGACCCATTTGCATTTGTACTTCTCTTTTAATAGTATAGAGATACAACTGGCAATAGGAAAGATTGAAGATAAAGTGATGACGAATGACGATGATTCCTTGCATTATTTGTGAATAATGCATGTGGGTTGATCCGCCAACCCGCAGATGAAAACCGATGACCCACTGCGAATCAATCCATGTGGCCCGCTTATTTGCGGGTTTAATATATTTTCCCAAATCTGCCCAATAGTGAGATGATTTGGACTCGACCCGTGGTTTTTGACCTATTTTGACTGCTTTAATTCCCATGATTCATCTAATTTTTGAATTCTACAAAATTCCATTTTGTAAATCATAATTAATATGATTGGTTTAATTATAAACAATTTAATATTTTCTTTACAATTTGTTATTAGGAATATTTATAAGTACACTAAACGATTCGTTCTACTAAAAACACGCACAATATTAAAATCAACGTATGTAAATCAATATTCTCCCGCGGTGGACCGCGGGTCCGATCCTAGTTTTAGTAGTATTTTAAATTTTCATTAGTTTAAAATTATTTAAACAAAATCCACGGACAACCCCGCAAATCAGCATACATTCGCGGGACGGATTTGTGTTTCATATATGCTATATGCGGGTCGTGTGGACCAACTAACCATATGTCAAAATATATTTTGCCTATCACAAAACGGGCTTAACGGGACGAATCAACTCGCTTTGACAGCTCTAGTGGAAATATTATTTAGTCATACAACAAAATAGAGTTTGGACATAGGAATAATAGAATCTATATCCTATTTCTTAGATGAGAGATTGAAACTTTGAAAAGTGAAATATAACGATTAAAAATTAATTATTATTTTTCATGATTCGCAAAATTTAATAAATATTTATCATCTTGTTGAATAATTCTAAAAATCATATTCAAGAAATCTTTATAATTTTAAAATTAAACTTCTTTGGTAAGCTATCAGTATGAAAATACCAGAATTTCGTTTAATTTAATTAAATTAAAATTAGTTACATGGATTTCATATCTATTTAATTTACACGACCAAAATAAAAATATCTATTTAATTTATAAAATAGATGGGTTAGTTGTGATAAATTTTCTAGAAATCTTTTGAAGCAAGTAAGATATCTTTCAATTAATGCTAATTGGCTAAAATAAACAAAATTAATGACAAAACGTTGATTGTTATGGAATTAGCATAAATACAATCATATTTTATTTGATTTCAATATTTTAGTTCGATTTTTCATTATTAAATATTAATTAGAAATCATATTCCAAAAAAAATTCAAAGATCCGATTTCAGAATTTTGGGTCAATTTTCTGATTTTGACCCGACCCATTTGCATTTGTACTTCTCTTTTAATAGTATAGAGATACAACTGGCAATAGGAAAGATTGAAGATAAAGTGATGACGAATGACGATGATTCCTTGCATTATTTGTGAATAAAATTTCGATCGTAAAGCTGTTGATATATACTCATTCATATCCCATGAGTGATAATCTTGTCCTAAAGGAGTCGTCTGAAAAAAGTAGTTGTAAATTTTGTTGAAATTCAAGTTCTTATCTCTGCAATAGCATGAAATCCAACATGGAGAAGCTCTCATGTCAACACAACTGCTTGGAAGTGAAAACATCCCTCCACTGTTGTCTCATTTGGCGACAACCGATTAGTGTTTTTTTAAACCAGTGTGTGAGGAAGAATGATGACAAGCAGCTTATGCCTGATTTAAGTGTTTTTGAACCGGTAGTAAACATTATGACAAGCAGTCTATGCCAGAGTTGATGATGGCCATCTTCAGCGGAGATCGCCAAGAAACATTAGGAATGGAAGATGGGATGTCAGGTATCTCGGTTGCCTCTGTGCTCATTGATGGCTTTAACACTCTTAATCCGTTGCTGCGCTCGTAACCTCCTGACTTCTTCAATAAGGAGAAAGGTCTTATCGCGTCTCTTGGATTTCCTGGAGCTGCACCTGCACAAAAATCTTGAACTGTCTCTGATCCCTCAATGATACAGATACTGAAACGTCCACCAAACGAATAATCATTGACGGTTTAGAATCAAAATGAGAAATCGTTTAATAAAAATAAAATTGAGAATCGTTATACGCCTAATAAACTATTATTACTCGATATATTTCATCAAAATATTAAAACAAACCCACTTGTAACGTAGATAATGATATCATTAATCGTTATATTTTATCAAAATATATAGAACAAACACACGCGTACTGTGGGTTTAAAATCTAGTATCTCTAAAAGTTTGCAAAAAAGCATAATTGATACTCTAGGAATACGTCAAACAAGTAGTGTTCTGAGTATTCATGACAACAATATAATATCGATTGCACACTTACTTCCATACTCAAATCATGTCAACGAAATTTGGCTCTTCAGCCACGAAATCAAAATCTGACTCTTCGGCCCAGATATCATAATCTGGCTCTTCAGGTACAAGATGTCTGACAGACTCAAACAGTCGAGCATTATTTCCATCCCTTTTGCTACCTTCTTCATACCATTCCAGAATCGCCTTCTCGCTTAAATACCATGTTGTAATGAAACCATCAAGCAACAAATCTTCCAGCCCCCTCGGTTGAGGGTGTGTTTTCAGGAATTTCTCCAACGCATGCAGCAGATCAAGCATTCCTCCATTTCTTCCTTTCACGAGAGGATCTAGGTACGCCATCTTCTTTGTATACATAAAAACACTTGGGGGATCTTTCTGGAAAATAAATTGGTTGCATATGACCGTGCATAATGCAGCCAGTTTATCTTTAGACTCTCTCCAAGATTTCAGCAAGTTGCTCATAGCATCAACATCAAAATCTTTCTCCAAGGCATTGCCTATTTCCTTCACAAAAATTTGGTTTTCAGTTGGTGTCCATATGACAGGCTGCCTCCTAGAGTACCCATGTGCCTGCACATACAATGAGAAATGTTAGTAAGTCTAATGAAACCCCATTCGCTACTTAGAAATCTACACAAACCTCCGTCTTAGCACAGGCTCCAAGTTTCTTATGAATGCCTTCAAGGTTGTCATCAATCACACTTTCAACTATTGCAGGTTGAAGAGCATGTGGAACACCTTGTTGCTGAAGTAAATCCCGAACAAGATATGACATCCAGCCGCCAAGAAATTTCTTAGAAAACACCATGTTAAAAGCATAAAGAATTAGCTGTCCATTGATCTAAAGAAAAAGAGCAAACGCAACATAGAAAATGAGGAACAAACAACTTCACAAGAATCAAAACCTTGCTCATTTGTCGGATATACTTTTCAGCCAAACGCACAGACACCGGGACACTTCCGGCGTTCCCACCCATCAAAAAGGATATCCTAGTGACACTTCCATCCATTCTACGATGTAGATCAGCCTTTTAGAAGAAAAAAAGGAAAATACATTGTGACATAAGAAAATTAACTTCGCAGACAGTCCTTCCATAGATTTGTTCTTGTTCCAAAACTGGATATCTGCAGGGAATGTCACGGGTAATTCAATAGCTAATTTCAAGAGGCATTTTAGGAAAGTAGATGTTCGTTGAGGTCTTTACCATTTTTTGAATGCAAGGAAGTCAAATACAGAATGAAGCATCGAAACAACATTGTGACGCCCAACAGATAGGGATTTCCTTCCAAAAACACCCTCTGCAAGTAAATTATACACCATCAAAAACATGATCACCGCAGCTTCGATTAACAGAAAACAATTAATCACATCTCTATACTACGTTCGGGATTCCTAGTTAAGAGTCGTTAGATGCACATCCTAGTATATAATATGACAATGAAGCTAACTGGCCATAAAGGACCAGAATTACCTTTAGTTCGTCAGATTCAACATCAAGCATGCTTCCATAGCTACGGTGAATCTGGAAAGACTGATCAATCTGCTGAAACAGCTGCCACTTTGTCATGCTTATGGGGCTTACTTCCAGATTAAGTGGCAGCTCTGAGACCGTCTCATTGATTAAAATCAACTTGTCCCTTAGCAGCCAAAACTCATTGAAAAAAACTGTAGGGTAGTAGTTTACTGTACTAGGTTCCACCAGTAAGTCTGCCAATAAAGTTAAGTAAAGGAAAGAGCAGATAGATATGGACCATCACACCTTTAGCATGGCAAAGTGAAATCATCATAGATTCCCATTCCAAAGATTAACAGAAAAGCAAAAAGAAAAAGGAATTATAGGTTCTTTGTGCATTTATGCACATATACGAAGTAAGGAGATGTGGCACTACTTCCAAGAACCCAGAAACTCACGTTTGGTCCTTGAGAATTTTGAATTTTCAAACAAGTTTAATCCAACCAATGTAAAATTGGCATGGAAGATGATATACATGCTAGTGCCTTTGATTGTTAGAGAAAGATGTGTATAGAGAGTTGTCAAAAACTCAAATAATCATAGGAAGATCATAAAATAAAAGGATACAAGGATCAATGTTTGGTGGTACACCATGCTGTGGATAGCTGTACGGAAATCGAAAACAATTACCAAACGTCTTACGAAATTCAATGTTAAGAGTGAACCCAAAAGAAAAGCAAGGATGCCATAAATCCATTATTCATCTATCAATTATCAGTACTAACTAACTTACCGAGTAAAGTCATCGACTAGGTTATTTGTGACATTTGGTTTCCAGTAGGATACCCATTCCACAGGGCCCTCATCCTTGAGATCCGAGTCCTTACCATCAACCTCCTGCGAAGTTTGCTTTGTGGTTAGTTCATGAGAATGAGTGCCATCACAGGCTAAACATTAACATAAACACATATAAAAAAATTCCGTATCAGAAGTTTCTGTAGAGACATACCTCAACTTCAACTTTGGATTCATCAGAGTCTTTGGGATTTCCCAACAAACTCTTCTTCTTATCTGCTTTTCGCTTTGGCAAGTAAGTTGCAACGGCTGAAATAGTGAAAAGATTCATCCTGTTTAGCGGATACAAGTGAAGTCCTCGTATATTCACCAATCCAACGATTAACAGCAAAGCAAGAAAATAAAAAGAAGAAGCATATTGTGCATCTTATACAAAAATATGATGTAAAGAGATGTGGCACCACTTCCAAGAACACAGAAACTCACGTTTTAGTCCTTGAGAATTTTGAACTTTCAAACTAGTTTAAACCAACTAATGTTAAAAATGGCATGGAAGATGACACACATGCCAGTGGCTTCAATTGTTAGAGAAAGATGTGCATAGAGAATTGTCAAAAACTCAAATTATAATAGGCACATCATCCTTAGAAATAAAAGGATACAAGGAGCAATGTTTGGTGGTACACCATGCTGTGGATAGCTGTATGGAACTCGAAAACAATCAGCAAACGTCTTATGAAATTCATTGTTAAGAGTGAAACCAAAAGAAAAGCAAGCATGCCATACCGGTACCAATTACCAGTACTAACTAACGTACCGAGTAAAGTCATCGACTAGGTTAATTGTGACATTTGGTTTCCAGACTCTAGACTCTGAATTTGCCCTTCATGACTCTTAAACTCATGCAAAAGTTTTCCAGCAGTCAAATCCCACACCTGGTGAAAGCAACCCACATATCAGATTGAACGTTAAGAGAGAAAGCAAAAATTGCAGGGTCAGGATAACAAGTATAGTAAGCAGTACAAGCTCTGAGATAAGACAAAGCGATAATCTAAAAAGAGATAGGAAAGCCAGATAATCTAAGTATCCAAGTTGATCAGGTAGTATTTAGCACTAAGCAAAAGTTTTCCTCTAAATAATACATGTTTTCATCCACACATCTCTCAGCACCAGTTTATGCCTATTTAACAAAACGTGATATTTTCGATTTCAAGGCTTAATTAAACAAAACACCAAAATTAGCCAACCATATGTTCTAAGAGCCCATAGAAATCATGCCACGTGCCTTCATCGTAGTTGTTGAAGGCCTTCCTACTTTCCTAAGATCAAAGTTGATGTTTAGTCTAGTGATGATTTTTAAAAAATTTCCTATGATCTAAAGTATCCTCAGAGAATAAAATTTTTGAATTCTGTCAAATTTTGAATTCTAGCAAAAAAACTCACCAAAAGGGTGAAAATTCACAGATACGCAGTTCGACCTGTGACCAGTGAGAGTTCTGACAACTACTCAGCAACCAAAATAACATATTCAGTAAATATAAGAGCCAAGTGTGGCTGACTAACAGAAAATGAGAAGAGTATTTAGATTATCATAGAACTATCAAACTTACCCTTTGCCTCCTCCAGATCCCAAAGTTTAATTGTACCACTAGCAGCTCCAGCTGCTACTAAGCCTTCCGAAGCATCAAACGTTACTGAATCAATCCCACTCGAGTGCCCATACAAGCTCTGACCATAGAAACCCACAAGTAGACACTCAGACAGAAAATTTTCCAAACCGGCCTACTACGTTATATCTAAAGTAAGTAGCATTTCTCTTAAAACAAATCTGAGGCATTCCGCAATAGAAGCAGCAGAGAGAGAAGTGAGAACTGACCAGGATGGCGTTGGGCTTACCAATAGCCCATAGATTGACCTTGTGATCTTCCCCGCCTGTAACGAGAACCCTCGAGGACTTCCTCCCAATCTTAAGACACTTAACAGCGGCAGAAGGTGCCACAAATTCCTCTTTTGAATTCCAAAAGAATCACACAAGTCAAGGCTAAAGCAATACTCTGAGATGAGACTCTAGTCAAAGAAGAAATTGACTAAAAGTCTTAAAATTTAGAGGCTCACAGATACCGAAAAGTCATAAATTACTTCACAAAGTTAAGAAGTGCATACAGATCTCTTGAACCACAGCTCAAAGGAGCAGATCAAGCACGACACTGGAGTCAGTCAATAATTCCGAGAAATAGACACTAATGATGAAATCAGAGAAAAGGATACGGAGCTTGTAGGCTCGCTAGGTGTTCATGCCGGAAACGAAACCCTTACATCTGCGACCATCAAAATTCAAGTCTGGAGCAGACAAAAACCTCGAAAGAGCCAGCTAGTGCAAAGGCAAATTAAGATCGTATTTAGCACTAAGCAAAATTTTACCCCTAGGATAGTAAGGTCAGCCGCGTAGAGGTAACATGAAATTAAACAGTCACATGTTCTCCATCCACACATAAAGAGCCTACTCTGAAATATTTGTTCATGGCTATTGACTACCATCTCTCAGACCAGTTTATGCCTATTTAATGTGGTATTGTTCTTCAAAGTATCCTCAAAATATAGATATTTTGAATTCTATTAAGTCGACTCCCCAGTTTTCCTCCCCAATACATACTCAGAAAGGAAAAAAAAAAAAAGGCAGCTACAAACCTTGACAACATAATCTTTTCCTCCAGATACAGTCCAACGACCATCTTGAGTGAATCTGAGTACATTGACCCCTCGAGTGTGACCCTTGTAAGTATGGATGCAGCCCTTCTTTCTTATATCCCATATCTTGAGATTTGTGTCTAGAGAACCAGAAGCAAAAAAAACTCACCAAAAGGGTGAAAATAAGAGCCGGGTGTAGCTGACTAACAGAAAATGAGAAAAAATATTTAGATAATCATAGAACTATTAAACTTACCCTTTGCCTCCTCCAGATCCCAAAGTTTAGTTGTACCACTAGCAGCTCCTGCTGCTAGTAAGCCTTCCGAAGCATCAAACGTTACTGAATCAACCCCACTCGAGTGCCCATACAAGCTCTGACCATAAAACCCCACAAGTAGACACTCAGACAGAAAATCTTCCATCCCGCTCGACTACAATATACCTAAAAGTGTGTCGCAGTTCCCCTAAAACTAGCTCATATCCTACCAGAGGCATTCCACAATAGAATAAATGGAGGGACAGGTGAGAACTAACCAGGATGGCGTTGGGCTTACCAATAGCCCACAGATTGACCTTGTGATCTTCCCCGCCTGTTACGAGAACCTTTGAGGACTTCCTCCCAATCTTAAGACAATTAACAGCAGCGGAATGTGCCACAAATTCCTCTTACAAATGTATCACATAAGTCAAGGCTAAGCAATAATACTATTAGATGAGACTCTAGTCAAAGAAGAAATTGACTAAAAGTCTATTTATTTAGAGGCACACAGATGCCGAAAAGTGATTGTTAAGACACAAATACACAAAGCTAAGAACTGCATACAGATCTCGTGAACCAGAGCTAAAATGAGCATATCAAGCACGACACTGGAGTTAAACCCAATAATTCCGAGAAATAAACCCTAAAGATGAAATCAGAGAAAAGGATACGGAGCTTGTAGGCGCGCTTGGTGTTCATGGCGGAAACGAAACCATTGCGTCGGCGAACATCCAAATTCTTCTACTCACGAACAGACAAAAACCTCGAAAAATTCCAGCTAGTGCAAAGGCACCTTGAGATCTCAACAGCAATTTCAATCTGAAATCTCGAAAAGATCAGTAATAACAAATGGGGAACAACCCAATTAGAGAGGAGGTGAAGAAACTATAGCATACCAGCAAAACCCAGAAAGCCAATCTCAGCTCAGAAACCAAATTTAGGGGATGAAATTGATTGGAAAAGAAAGAATGCAGAATGAAAGGGAGTATCTTGCAGTAAACGTCGTTGTTGCCTTTACGAAGAAGATAAAACTGGAGTTGTTGGATGAGTTAACTTATATTTTTCTCCTCTAATGGCGAAGAAGAGAGGAGAGAGATATGAATGAAAGAAAGGAAGCAGAGAGAGAAAGGAAAGGAAGCTGCTTTTATTCACCTACGAAACGTACACGTGTCAAGCTTTTATTACTCCTTTCCCTCTCTCTCTTCTCCTCCCCCCTCTCTCTCTCTTTTTCACGCGAACCATTGAGGATTGGAGGCTGTCGATTTTTAATTTGGCTGCATATCCGGGTTGATTAGTTCTTTTTCTGCATTTTTTCTAATTTGCAGGGATCTATTGAATTAATTTGTTTCAATCTAATTGTCATGGTTTTTTTCTTGTGTGAATTATTCTGATAATTGGATTTGATATTTGTTTTATTGAGTCTTTCATAGACTCGTGGTGGAAACAAAAAATTGAAAAAAAAAAAAACGATCATCTTTGTTTTATCATCGACTTGTGTAGTCAAAGGCATTGGTTTAATTGAATCTTGTTGCATTGTTTTTGGTGGTTTTGTTAATCGTATTGAAAAATCACGTTGTTATTGATTCATGCTTTTTTGTCCATTGATAAAGCTTAGAACTCGATCTGTTATTACTGGGTTTATTCACGTTATTATTGCATAATATAGTGAATTTTAATTTCTGATATTTTGTTAGTATAATAATTTGGATTTTGTTTCTCGTAAACAGATTCGATATTGATTATGACTAACAACGTTGATTGATAATGGTTGGATTTCACATATTCTACAGATATGCCTTCTAATTTCTTCGATAATAGAGCTCGAGTTCGTGATCGAGTATGCATCAACAATTGAAGAATGATTTGGTCGAACATATATGGACAAAATATTCCAGAAATTAAATTTAAAACATTTGTGCTTTATGTTATTTATGTTCTAAATTGTATCTCATGTATGTTTTAATTTCTTTAATTTGCAACAATTATTAAATTTTCTATAATTATAAATTTTATTTTTATATTAATTTTTTTTTTAAGAACCACATGTTAAGAATCTACCATTATTAGCTCTTCATCTCTATTCAAAATTCCAAAAAAAAAAAAAAAAAAAGCAAAACAAATTTTTCATTTTTTTTGGGGCAATGTAACATTTCTCAATTTTTACAAAATCGAATTACTAATGATTTCTGTAATTGATTTACTGCCAAAATACCACATTAGGCCCATCGCATTACTTTCTTGGTAAATCTAATGGGTTTTGTGCAAAAAAACCCTACAACTCGTCCATTTTTGCAACTTTATCCTCCATCTCCGAAAAATTGCAGATTAATCATACGAAGTCCATAATAATGTGCAATATAACCCTTATACGTATATTGTAAACGTTTTTTCGGTCACATACATTGATTTTTTAAAACTCTAAAAGTAGAGTTGAACTCTTCATCGCGAGGGCTTCGATTTGATATATTATTTCTCAAAATTTTACGAACTTGACGGTAACGAATAAGGGTTACATTGCGTATTATTTGGGACTTCGTAGTATTAATCTGCATTTTTCGGAGATGAATGGTAAAATTGTAAAAATGGGCGAGTTGGAAGGTTTTTTTGCACAAAACCCAAATCTAATCTACCTGTTTAAACAGACTAAACTGTAAATTTAAAGTTGATTCCTGAATTTAAATGTTAAAACTATTTATATTTGGTTCAGTTCTAAATTCAAACTTTAAAACATACCAATCTGAAATTTAAATGCATTCAGGTTACTTTTATATTTTAGATCCGAAACTAAAATATCTAAAACAAAGTTAAGTTAAATGTGGATCAACATCCCAATGGTGTTTTTTTTTTCTTTAATACAAAAATATTCTGATATAATATGATAATTTTTCCTTTTTCAAATATCACAGTAAATTATTTTTTTTTAAGTGATTTTGTTGTTGGTGTTCTTTTTGTCAGTTCAAAGAAAAGGTGATATTTTTGTCTGGTGGTACTGAGTTCTATTATATGTAGACTAGTTGACTACTAAAATGTTCTTATTAACTAGATATTAACCCGCGGTACACCGCGGGCCTATAATTTTACTAAATAATAAAATTAAAATTTTTTAAGATGATCTATAGATATATATTATTATTTTGTTTGATTTAAATGTATGGTACACCGACGATATGTTATAACTAAAAAATTAAAATTAAAATTTTTATTCGTTTTGCTAATATTGTTTGTTTAGTTTTGTTTAGTGTTTAAGAATTAAGATTGTATAGTTATATTTTGATTGTTAATTCTAGGATTTTACCTGTAGTATATCATACTGTATTAATATCGACCCAACCTCGTCCGACCATATAAACCTGTCCCGTGAAATCTACATCATTTTGTCATTTTCTAATAAAATAATATCGACCCAAAATTCAAATAGTCTTTTGATTGTTATATTTAGGATTTCACCCGTAATATACCGTTCCGTATTAATATCTTTTGTAAATATTTATAATGTTTAAATTTCTTAGAATTTCCTTAAAACTCAAATATTTATTTTATTTGAAAGTTTATAAAATTATAAATATTTAAAATAAAAAGAAAATTAACAATATTGAATATGTATTCATATTTTGTATTATTAGTTAATGTGAATATAGATAAAATATATATTTTTATATAGATAAAGTTTTTTTTATATTAACTAATAGATAAAAAATTGTAGTAATGGCATTCTCTAGGATTTAACCCGTAGTAGAACACAAACAAAATTATATTTATGCATTTTGTATCATAAATAATATAACATGGTATTACAATTTTCTCAATTATAAAATTTTGAAGTATTATTAGACTGATAAATAGAGGAAATAAGTGTGATGTATAAATAGCCCAACCCAAGCAAAGTAGTAGCCCAAAATGGCCCAACTAATTGCCGTAGGTAGAAGCGGTACCGTCGAGGCAAAAAAGAAGTGAGAAGAAGAGAGTCGTGACCATGATGCTTGATGCAGTCAAGAGAACCATGACCATTTTCATTCTCTTTTTCGATTTTTGTTTCGATTGTAAAATTATACACAATGGATCAGTAGTAGGACCAAGCGATCCATCAAAGTGCTCCATTGAAGTTGATGAGAGGTACAAAGGATGTCCAAAGATCTTTCCAGAACTGGCAAGCACGACCGTGATGAATAGCTACATATGATATGGGACGCTCATTTAATATAGATCTTTTGTTCTTCAGGTATTAATTTCCTTCTTCGATTTCATAAGCATGCTTTGGTTTTGATTTCCAAAGAATCTTTAATCGATTAGTATTTGCTAATAATTGTTCATGCTTATGAAATCGAATCTTTCGTCCTTAATTAGGGAATAGAAGAAGAATCCCACATAGATGATGAAAGTGGGAATCGAGGTACTAAAAGCAAAGTTAGGCAAAGGTAATTTTGATTTCAAAGTTCTAAAATTTCCAATTTCTTTGCGTAATTACATTTACACATCTTTGAATGCAAATTTAAAATTAGATTATCAAACTAAAAATGTATGAAACTATAACTATGGCATTTGTTTATCATTTTAATAGTGAATCCCACCAGCCACACTAATTCTACTAATTAGATAAAGTGAAGAGAGATGCCCGATGGAGAAAAGGTGGCCTGCGTTACCAGAGCTTCCGGTTACATAGTGTCTTGAATGTCAAGCTTTTACTCCTCCGTGGCTACAACGTCAATGCCACCATTCAAGTCCCAAGTTTGGTCCTATATGAAATTACTAAGAATGCAGAAACATCAAAGAAAACAAAGGTGAGTATAATGGTTTAAAAGTAAGCTGTGGTTTTTGGTGTTTGGTGATGTTTATTAGCGTTTAGGTGTAGATTATTTATAGGCTCAACATTAGGTCGATATCCGTAGCTTATCACGCAAAACAAAAATCCTAAATAGCAACTAATTAAGGATAAAATCTTTCAAATCTACAGTAATATGGAATATGCCAAGAATATGGTACTTTATGAGTCATAATTTTTTTTTATCTTAAATCGATTTTGTAGAGATATTAGAGATATGATGAGTGATTAGTTGCAAGAATATATACTGGAATCTTGCTTTTGGAAAGAAAACGTATAGATTTTTAAACAATGCATCATTAGTTTGTTTATGAAATTGTATTGTTAGAGATCTTGTTGATTTGAAATATCCAAAATGATTTGTTGGTAGTAATTAAATTGATTTGTAAGGGATTGTAAATTATAGAAAGTATTCAACGACAATTAATGGAGATATTTGAGGGAATGATTGTTATTTCCTAAATCTTTTAGTTGATATTTAAAAAGTAATTAATTTCATTTTAAATATATTATTTTTGGCAGGAAATAACAAATAACATATAAATAGGATACAATGAGATAAACAAATATGGTTAGTTTACAAAATCTCATCGTTGAGACGGAATTGAATATAAACGAATTGAATGTGGCGGAAATTGTGGATTCAATTAACGAAGTTAATATAATATATATATATATATATGGAGGTGTGATAAGAAGTTAAGGAAATTAACGAATATGGTTAATAAAAGAATTAATTGTAGTCTTAACGAATATGCGAAATAATAGTTTAGTAGAGGGAAACACATATTTGGAAGGAATTTAAATTGACAGATACAAAAAATAACTTTGTTGCAGATTGCATTGGCGAAAATAAAGGAACAATATACACTTAAGGAATGTGAGAAGTTATTTGTTTTGATTTTGGTAAAAATGGAGTTAATCAATTAGGTATGGTAAATGCTAAGTATCCGGAGATGATTAATATGGAAATAGTATAAGAATAAGTAGATGAATTAAAGACAACATGACTTCATTTATCAGTTTGAAATTAAGACAACATCCCTAAAATTGCTTATCCAAGATCCGAATAGACTAAAACCGGGTCAAACCCGGATCCAAAAGAATTTATGCAAAAATCCCCTGTAAAAATGTATATGTAGATATTTGTACATTTCGTTATTTGATACGGTTGATATTTTCAAAAACTCTAGGTAGTAAGCAATTCTTTTCAAAAATATTGAGTATTATCTTGTTTGAAATTCCTGTCGGTGTTATAGTGCAATTAACAGGAGATGGTCGTTTAGAAGAACGATAA